CGTGGTTATACTGGGGGAACAATGCCTGTTAAAATCCATGGGAAGCCTATTGCAGATCTTCCTAAAACTGGTGGATGGATTGCCGCCTTTCTTTATTTTTGGTACATAAAGTCTCTCTCTCTATATATATATTTGCATATAGCTTCTTCTACTTTAGCTTACTATTGTATGTTACTCGTGTGTGATTTGTGTTCAAAGCATTTTTGACTCATTATCCATCGATCCAGGGAACGAGATGGCCGAGCGAATGGCTTATTTTGGCTTATCAGTTAACATGGTGGCCTTCGTGTTCTATGTTATGCATAGACCCTTTTCAAGTTCTTCGAATGCGGTTAACAATTTCCCGGGGATATCTCAAGCTTCTTCTGTCCTTGGTGGTTTTCTAGCAGACGCTTATCTATGTCGATATTGGACGATAGCCATTTTTACCGCCATCTATCTTGCTGTGAGATGTTATATCACATTCCCTATTTATTGAACTCATTGCTTAAGCGATTTTCATCACTTGTCAACCCTGTTTCCTACAGGGTTTGATAGGGGTAACTTTATGTGCATCGATGAAGATTTTCTTGCCGGATCAAGATCAATGTGATCAACTGTCCCTGCTTTTGGGTAGTTGCGAGACTGCGAAACCATGGCAGATGCTTTATCTCTATACTGTCCTTTATATAACTGCTTTCGGAGTTGATCTGTTTGATGAAGGAAGTAAAGATTATATAACCCTCATGGATAGATTTTTCAACTTCTATTACCTTTGTGTTACTATCGGTGCAATTGTGGCATTCACTCTGGTAGTCTACATTCAGATAGAACGTGGATGGGGAGCTGCCTTCGGTTCATTAACTATAGCTATGGGGAATGTCCCACATGATATTCTTTGCAGGCACTCCTTTATACAGGCATAGGTTGCCGGAAGCATCCCCCTGACCCGAGTTGCACAGGTGCTCGTTGCCGCCTTTGAGAAACGACATGTCCCTTTCACGAAAAGCGAGTTAGTAGGCCTCTATGAGCTCCCTGGAAGACATTCTGCTGTAGAGGGCAGTGGAAAGATACCTCATACTGATGATTTCAGGTATATGCTACTCTAGTTCCATTTCTCAATGGCAGATCGAAATTTCACTTTTTTCGGTTTTGCATATGCTCGGACAAGGCAGCTCTCCAACTGAAGGAAGACCGGGGGAGATCCGAGTCCCTGGAGGCTTTACACGGTAACTCAAGTAGAGGAAGTGAATATACTCATTGAACTTATTCCGATACCGGCTTGCACGATAATGCTCAACACCATCTTAACAGAATTCTTGAACACTCTCGATACAGCAGACGTATACCTTGAATACTCGCAAGGGAAAATTGAAACTCCCTGTAAGATGCATGCCACTATTTCCTGGCCTCAGTATATTTCTCATACTGTGTCTCTGTTACTCCGTATTCGTTCCTATATCACGAAGCATCACCGGTCATCCCTGTGGTGCTTCTCAGCTTTACAGAGTAGGCATCGGTCTGTTTATTTCAATCTTATCGGTGGCCTGGGCCTGGGCTTTCGAAAGGTTTCGAAGAGGCTACGCTATAACGCATGGCTACAAATTTAGTTTCCTAACTCCCATGCCTGATCTAAGTGCATACTGGTTGTGATCCAATACTGCCTGACTGGTATAGCCGAAATGTTTTCCGTAGATGGCCGAATCAAATTCTTCTACAAGGAAGCTCCAGATGCAATGAAGAGTAAAGGCTCCGCATATGCTGCTCTAGCAGGTGGCTTGAGTTGTTTCGTTGCCAGTATAATCAACAGTATCGTCAAGTCGGTTACGATGAACCCGGATAATAAGTAGCTGTCTTGGCTATCTCAGAACATAAACCAAGCGAAATTCAATTACTTCTACTGGTTGTTTACAGTTCTTTCTATAATCAATTTCTTTATTTTCTTATATTCAGCACATAACAGAGCAGACTTGAGGTCAGGGAAACCAAACAAAACAACCCTGCTGAGGATAACTAAATAAGGATCTAAAATTTATGTTCTTTTTCGGGCTTGGAATAAGCAAATGCTCTAAACTGAGTTCCACAAGTTTCTGATTCATGTCAATTGCCTTTTTTTTCTTATATGTTACCCTAATTCTTCAAAAATACACGACTTTATCTATCACAATGTACTAGAATTCTTCATTTGCTACACCATAAATACCATGTGTGTTCAGTAACTGCATCGGCTTATCTTATCATATCGTCTCCCTAAGGTCGTTTTCCGGTTGATTACACGGGGTTTTCAGAGGTTTCTGTGTTCTTCAACGGGTACCAGCTGAGGCTGGTTGCCCATTCTCCCAATGTGTTTTAAAGAAGCTCTAAAGTTGTACAAATAATTCAAGCGACCCTACCATGGCCTCACTTCATGTGTATAATGGGTTAATGATGTGGGTCCTATGTTATAAAGAGAGAGCATTGACAGATCTCATCAAGGTGGTTGGTTGTCGTGTTTTCATTCCAAGTTGGTACTGATCATACTAAATTGATGTCTGCAGTAACAGAAATATATGGAAACATGATTCTTAAATTACGAGTTTACCATCGAGAAAAGCTCAGATGTTCAGCTTGGAAGTATCAGCTTCTTCACATTCAAGCTCAAAATGTTTGTTGAAATAGTCCACACAGTTTGTGCCAGTTTGTTGGGTCAAGGACCACAAACAACTTGACGTTTAATAAAAAATTAGCTGACCCTATTTCCATATGTAATGGGGTAAAGGGAAGGTAGGATAGTAGGCTGCCCTCAACGTCAGGTTGAGGGCAGCTTCCGTGCAAGACCTCCGGCAGTCAGAATTATGAATTGTCCATCATAGGACTCGATCCCACGACCACAAAGTTAAGAGCTTTGCGCTCTACTAACTGAGCTGGACGGACAATTTAGAGGTGAGAATTTATAAAATTTTAAAGATAAAAATAAATCAGTAAAAAATATAAAATAATATATATAAAAAAAATTGAAAATTTAAAATACAAACATCTATCAACAAATAATAAAAAACGGGTAAATTATAAAATTAATAATTGAATTTTACTCTCTCCTATTTTACTCACTAAACTTTAAAAACTTTTAATTTAATAACTAAACTTTGTAAGTTGATTTTTTTTAGTAACTCAATAGTTTTTTTGGTCACACCTTGATGACTTGGTTTATTTTAATATTTTCTTCACCCACCTAGGATTTACATATAAACTAAAATAAGGGTAATGTGTATTTGGGGCAAATTAAAAATTGGTTTGGGACACGCCATCCACCTCCGCCCCAAAGCTACGGTGACCGTATCATCCCACATCCCCAAACCAAATTATTTTACTATTTCGGTTATGAAAATCGCTTACTCGTCATTCCCACTACCGATAACTCATTCACCACTTTTACACTTTCTTCCATCATCACCCACCTCTTCACCTTTCTTCGCCTTGCACCCCATTTATTAGTTTAATCCATTTACCAGCTTACTCAGCTACATCAGTGAACTTTATGGTTCCTTTGATTCTGAAATTTTGTCTCATATCAACTGTGAATGGAACTTTTCAAAACTAAGCTGGCCTCATTGCTTCAATGGAGAACAGACTTTGTTCTAACTTCTAACCCTTTTGAATTATACCCATCTCCTCCGTCATCGCCACCAGCGCCGTCACCTTTTAGGAACTTAATCGGACCCAGCGCCGCCACCTTTTAGAGACTTAATCGGACCCATCTTCGAAACAAACGATGGAGTCACTGAAAACATCCAGCAGTATGTGTTACTTTCTCCTTCTACTTCCCTCTTTATTCTTGGGACTACCTTCCATTCCCGCTTTAATCTGTTCTTCAATTCTGTCAAGGACAAGGTTCGTGGCATGTGCTAAGCACTTTATAGGCGATGGTGGGACAACTCAGGGCATCAACGAAAACAACACTATTATTGACATTCATGGGTTGCTTAGCATGTACATATGCTCAATCGATCATCAAGGGTGTTTCAACAGTTATGGACTTATGGTTTCCTTCTCTAACTGGAACGGACGAATGATCTTATGACTACCGTTGCAGACGAAACAAAGCACAACTGAACGCCACAACACCCTTCACGATCGTCATTACAAGTATCCACTGAGATGCCATTGAAGAGCAGCTTAAACTTCCCTTGCCAACGTAAGAATTTTTTTCGACTCCGCTGGATCAAAACCTTTTGGCGGAACCTTTGAAAAGAGGAAGCTGCAATGGCGGCGGAGGCTATGGCCATAGCGTGAGCTTCGTTACAATGATGAATGTAAACAGTGAGGAAGACGACCAAGAAAAAAGCATCGACGAGGACCATAACAACTATGACCATGGACGTATCGAAATGAATGTAAAGATCGGAAGGTTTGCCCTTGGTGGAGCTATAGGCGTAGGCTGCTCCGTCACAACGATGACGGTCACTATGCATAAGATGAAGAAAATTCAACGACAGTTTAAAGTTTTTTACTTTGGGTAATTGAACTTTACCCTCACCCTTTTCTTTTCTTTTTTTCTTACACGTGTGTTAATGATTTAAAAAAGTAATTAATTATCCCACATTATAACGCGGTTACATAATTAACAGCAGAATGACTAAAAAATTAATGCATAAAATTTGGTTATTAAATAAAAAACTTTTGAAGTTTAATGAGTAAGATAGGAGAAAGGCTAAAATTTAGTTATTGATTTTGTAATTTACCCTAATAAAACTTCATACAAATCATTTATATGAATTTATAAGTTTAATTGTACAGGAAATTTCCAAACTATTAACGTTTCCTGCATTAAGTATTTAAATTAAATATTTCAAATAGATTGCACGCCCATTTCTCATGTAAAATCCTCAAATCCATGTTGTTTCTTAAAGCAAATAAATGAAAATGAATCAACATGAATGCCCAAATATTTTACTTCCATGGACAGTTGTGTAAGGAAGAATCTACATCTAAAACTGCAAGCAAATATGAATTGAAGATGATTCATTTCAAAGGAAACAATGTGAAACCAGGAATACTTCTGCAAATTTATTATCATCAGTTAGTTCATCACAACGGCAGGGGTGAAATAAATATGACAGGAAAATTCATAGCACAGCAGAACCTTTGAGAACACCATCCAGCAAGCTCTGGGTGGCGGAATCAGTTGAGGTTTTGGTGGTGTTATCGAAGCAGTAGACGGGAGCTTGCCACTTGGAATCCTCAAGAACTGCTCCCACTTCAAATGTCATCACATGCGCCTCCCTCCCTACAGTTTCAATTCAATCCCTCAACTGATAAATTTGATTAAAAGTGAATTTCAGTCGAAATTAATCAGACTTACCGGTGTAGAAGACCCAGTGAACGGGCCTCTTACTGAGGACATCCTCGAAATACGTGATGAAATCGACTTTCTCCCACACATTGCAAAGGAACCCATCAACGCTCCGCTGACCCAAGTACGTAGCTCCGTCGAGCCAGTTGGGGCGTAAAATCCCAACCTCGAGCTGGGCACTGCTGCAAGTTCTGGAAGAATCGAGGGTGTAGAAGAAGGATGTCCCATTGTTCCACTCAAGGTCGTGGAGGACATTGCCCAGCTGGTGCTGAATTATGTTGAAGTTTCTGCCGTTGGGCCAATCATACCAGAGGTCGATCACTTGGAGAATACCACTGTAGTTCATGACGAGGATGGAGTGGAACTGAAGCGGCCATGGAGTTGGAGTCGGGTCGTCTTGGTCGGGTTTGGATTCGCAGAAGTGAGGTGAAGAAGTTAAAATGAAGAAGAGGTAGAGTGTAATCATGGGCATGGACTTCATCGGATTTAGGTCGGCGGATGCCATCTTCGTTGCTCTTACTTCTCTGCTCTTATTATTCAGGAGACGACGCGTGGAAGATATGCCCATTTCTAAAGTAATTATCTGTTTTGGTGTAAGTACAGAATCACGGTGACTGTTCTTTCAATGAATGACAGACTAATGAAATATGTGAACGTGTAATTTTCAATTCTATTTATTCAGGACATAATATTTTATATTACGATAAATGAATTTATAATATTTTAGAAATAGATTATAAAATTTTAAAGAGATAAAAATAAATTCAGTTCAGAATCACAAAAGCCCAATTATACTTGGGCCTAGTTATTTGAACAATGTTTGTTAAAACCCTTATTCCCGATTAGGTGTGCCCCTTCACTCATATTTGTGCATCGGATTCGGCCTGCAAACTTAGCCCATTCACATGTGCTTTTATCGCTCCCATCTTAATTAGATGGGCTTTTTTTTAATAATCTAAAATTATTACCAATGAATATACATTTATAATTTTTTAATCAATTTACAACACACGCATACCCCACAGATATAACTGCAAATCCTAATTTTTTAAAGAAAACATATTTCTTTTTGTATGATTTTTTTTATGTTAAAATCATATTAAATAAAATTTAATTAAACAATCTGTCACTAAAATTTATTAGATTGAAGAATATTTAATATTTTTAAAATTTAGTTAATGATTAATTTAATTTGAAACAGTTTAATTAACTTAACGATAAATAATTAAATGATTAAAATAATATCAATATGATAATTCAGTGATTATATATTTAGTTTACCATACATTTTTCCATTGTTAAGCTACACACCGCCAGATGCCATTTAATTTTGTATCCAATCAATCATCAACCAGTAAATTTTAATTATTTTATTAAAAATTTTAAAAAATTAGAACAATTTATAGTTTTAACTTCAAAATATTTTAAAATGTGTAAATTATATATTGAATTTTCTAATAACCAATATCAAAATGACATAGTATATTAATGCTGATAGTTAAATTTGTAATTACGCCAATTAAAATTATGTAAAATTGATAATAAAAAAATTATTAATATTGTGATTAAATTGTCCTTAATTATTCAATTTTAAAGCTGATAATAACTAAGTTACTCTTCTTTTGGGAGTTTCAACTTGCCTAATTTTAAAATTAGTAAAGTATACACGACTAGGGATGGCAAAAAAAAAACTGAACCCGTCGGGAAAAATCGAATTAAACAGGTCGGGTTCGGGGATGATAAACGGGGACGGTGAAAAACCGAATATTTTAAACTGGGATGGGGACGGGTTTGGTAATCCCCGCCCCGATTACCCGAATAACGGCCCACTAAATATTAAAAATAATTATTATATATATATAATATTAATAAATTTAATTTAAATTAAAAATATATATATAATATATTAGGATTTAAGATAACACATTTTGACCTACTCGTCACTTTCTCGGCGGCTATTCGTTTATGAAAGTTGAAACATTATATTATTAGTCGTTGTCATTATATTTGTCTATTTGAATTGTTTTGTTTTTATAAGTTTATATCCGATAATGACATTATTTTTTAAATAACTCGTGTCATCGTGTGAAATTTAAACGGTAACGGGGATCCCCGCGGTGAAAAATAACCATATAAGGTAAATGGGTAATTTTCATCGCGGTTATCTCCGCGGTGAAAATTACCCGTTTAAATAATCGTTAATGCTAAACGGAGATACCCGTTTCCCAGCGGTTTTCCCCGATTACCCGATAGGGATCCCCGTTTAAATCCCCGTAATTTTTTAAGCAATGACGGATACGAATTTTTTAAACGGGGGCGGGGGACCAATCCCGGCCCGAAACCGCCCCGTTGCCATCCCTATACACAACATCTCTTAACCAAGTCAAAATATTTTTTCCCAACAAACTTTCAAATATTTTTAAATTCATCATTAAAATTTTAAAATATTTATAAAAGAATCATTAAATTTATCAAACTATTACAAAATGATCACTAAATTTATCAAAACTCATTATTATTTACAATATTACAGGGGCTGATTTATAATATTTTAATATGATTTAAAAAATATTTTTATAATATTTTTGTATTATAATATTTTTATAATATTTAAAAATATTTTTAGTATGATAAATTCAATGATCATTTTTATAATATTTTAAAAAATATAATAATAAATATCTTTTTAATATGATTTAATGATATATGATTATTCTTGTAAAATTGAAAGATACCTTAATTTCTTTTTCTCCTAATACTAATTACTATTAATAAAAAAGGTTTTTAAGGTTTTTATTAGTTTTTAGGCATAATGTTAAAAAGGTCCACAACGTTTGACTAAATATTCACTTTTGTCTTTATTTTTAAAGTATTTTGGAATTGAGAGTTCTTTTACGCTAAAAATGGTGGGACTAAAATGCTCTAAAAATATATAGGGACCAAAATAATCATTTTGATAAATGTTTGGGATTAATTTTGGCATTATGCCTTGTTTTTATAATAATATTGATAAACATGAAATATTAATCCAATTAAAGCACTTTAAATGTACAAATTGATGTAGTGATGTGGCCTAATCTTAGTAGTCATTTCTTTTGAGGTATAGGCTGTTTTGCCTTTTTAAGCTTCATTGCTAATCTTTTTGGGAGCTTCCAATCGCAAGTAGTAATTAATTGTTAAATTATTAATGATTTTATTGGATAAAATCTAAATATATTATTGTTCTTGCATTTCATGGTTTTATGCTTTAATTATCCAAAAATTGACAGTAGACAACATCACTCCCATCCACCCATTTATTTTATACACATCACTGAATATTTAACCTTTTTCATGTCAAGTTGATTTTGGCTTTGTGTTCTTTCACGCATGTCCTTTGCAATCATTCCTGCATGATTTTCTTTTTCATACCTTTTCTTCTCTACCGCACGATGAGCAGAGAGAGAAATATTATATTCTATGTTTCCCACTTTAGCCAATAACGAATCCAAGCCCAATTGTCTTCATCAAATCAATCTGAAATATAATAATAAATATTAAGTGCGAATATGCTTTATATATGACGAAAATCTACTTGAAGAGTAGGAAAAGGTCTGTCAGAGTTTGATTTGCATGCGGGCGAACAGAGCCTGAATTTTCAGATTTGCTTTTTCATGTCAAGTTGATTTTGGCTTTGTGTTCTTTCACGCATGTCCTTTGCAATCATTCCTGCATGATTTTCTTTTTCATACCTTTTCTTCTCTACCGCACGATGAGCAGAGAGAGAATATATATTCTATGTTTCCCACTTTAGCAATAACGAATCCAAGCCCAATTGTCTTCATCAAATCAATCTGAAATATAATAAATATTAAGTGCGAATATGCTTTATATATGACGAAAATCTACTTGAAGAGTAGGAAAAGGTCTGTCAGAGTTTGATTTGCATGCGGGCGAACAGAGCCTGAATTTTCAGATTTGCAAAGAGATCAAGACGGATCATAATCTTTTCGAATTTACCGGGCAAGGAAAAGGTCGAGATGAAGATTCGAGAAGTCGCAAAATTTGACAGGCAGAAACCGAAAGAAGGGTTAAGGTACGTGAGGGTGCGATGCATTTGGGATTGTTGAATGGTCCCCCCACCCCCCAAATTGAATTCAATTTAAAAAAAAGACTTTGCCGCCGCATCGGGAAGAGGAGCCGCACGTCACGTCATTTTTCACGCGGCTTACGTTGCCCCCTTTTTCATTTATCAATACTTAATAGAGCTTCATAAGGGAAGAAGCTTCACTTTTTTATTTGTGTCGTTTTGTAAGTTCTGGTCTTTGAAGGACCGGATGACCCACAAAACATACCTTTCTTCCACACTAGGCCATGTCCAGTTGTCCACTTGAGCTTCCGCATGCGTTTTGTTTAATGCTCAATTCATCATTAGACCCCCACATCTTATATTTCGGCAGTCAAAAAATTAAAAATAAAGATGAAATACATGCATGTATAAATAAATAAATACATAGTTGAACATGTTTCATATGCAGTCTTCATATACGCATCTGTAATGGAAAGTAATCCCTGAAAATAAATCCCTGCGTAAAAATCGTTGTATATAGACAGAAACGTAAGTCCCATCTACATTTAAAAAGAGGCAACATGAAGAGAAGGATATACAGTAGTCAGCGATAGCAAGCTACGAGAAGGTATAAAGTCAAATGGATAAAAGCATAAACTAAGGCAACACTACTCTGCTACCCTAATTATAAGCCTTCATAAATTCCAATGACATAACCGTATAAAAAGTAGAAGTCATGGAAATTACTTCAAATGCATTAAAAAGAAGACAGAGATGCTACACCCTATGGTTGTGACTCACACTACTCGGCTACCCTGGTCTTAAGTCTCCATAATTTCCTATCAGATGTCATGTCCTCGGTAAGGGCTAAATCATTCAAATCAGATCTCAAACAGTCTACCCACTTCCTCTTTGGTCGTCCTCTCCTTCTGGCACCGTCGGCTGTAATCGACTCTACCCTCCTGACCGCATCCGACGATTGTCTCCTAAGGACATGCCCAAACCACCGTAGTCTTCCCTCCCTCAATTTTTTGGATACAGACACCATCCCCAAGGACATCCTAATTGCAGAGTTTGGTGTCATGTCTCACATAGTCCTACCAGAAGCCCATCGAAACATTCTCATTTCTACGGCCTCCATCCTCCTTACGTGATCCTTCTTGATTGCCCAACATTCTGATACATACAGCAGAGCTGGTCTTATTGCCATTCTATAAAAAATTTCCCTTAAGTTTTAGAGGCACCTTCTTGTCACACAAAACTCCAGTAGCAACCCTCCAATTTATCTATCCCGTCTTTATACGATGTGTAACATCATCATCTACACCCTTATCTTTATGTATCATAGATCCTGGGTACTTGAAACAATCATTTGAGGGGAGAACGTGTCCTTTGATGCAAACTTCTACATCTTCATCGTTTTGGTTCCCACTGAATTTTGAACATAAATGCTATGTCTTTTCAATATTGATCCTTAGACCTTTTCCTTCCAAAGCAGTCTTCCAGGTAGCCAGTCTACTATTCAACTCATTTTTTGTTTCAGCAACTAGGACAATGTCGTCAGCGAAAAGCATACACCATGGAACATCGTCTGGTGTCGCATAATATATGTCGTCCATAATCAAGGCGAAGATGTAAGGGCTAAGAGTCGACCCCTGGTGGAGTCTGATTTCCATCGGGAATGCCTCGGTGTCGCCAACTATAGTCCTTACGGATGTAGTAGATCTATAGTACATATCACGAATCGCCCGGATATAAGCAGTTTGGATCCGTCTCGTTTCCAAGGTCTTTCAGATCGTATCGCGAGGTACGCTATCATACGCCTTCTCAAGGTCAATGAACGCCATATGAAGATCTCTATTTTTTTCCCTATATTTCTCCATATGCCGTCGAAGTAGATGAATCGCCTCCGTAGTAGACCTGCCTGACATAAAGCCAAATTAGTTTTTCGAAACCCTAGTAACCTGTCTCAACCTAGCCTCTGTCACCCTTTCTCATAGTTTCATTGTATGACTGAGTAGTTTAATACCTCTGTAGTTACCACAACCTTTATTCTTATAGATTGGTATCACACATCACCCATGTTCCAAAGCATGATAAGAACTCAAAATTCTCCGCGGGCTAAAGTTTTATTTATTATTTAATAATTCATACGGACCCACTTTTAGGCTAAAGAATATTAATGGCTTTATTCCCGTTTAATATTGTTTGGTTCACTCGAATCACTTGCCCACTTTGGTAAAGGAGATGGGACAAAATCCAAGTGACAGCCATTCACGTTGATAGAGTTCAAAAAGAACATTCAAGCTTCCGATAACATGCAAAAAAAAATATTAAAGTAGTAATTGACAATTTTAGATAATAATCGGTTTAGGGTTTGTGATACGATTATGATAATATTCTCATTACTAAAATCCATAAAAAAAAAGTTGTTTGTCGTATAGTTTGTGATACGATTATGATAATATTAGTAGTATGTCTTGGACGGTCAGTGGACAACATTGTTTTGATTTTAATCAAGTGAAAGAGACTATTGTATTTTGTCTTATTTCCGATATCATAATATGAATGTAAGAAAAATACAAACGAAACCATTAAAATTACTCAAAATGTATACGTGGATATACTCAAAAATATATACATGAAATATAGTTTTTGTAAATAACATTTTTAATGATAATAATTAATGTATATAAACTCATTAAATAATCTCAGTAGTTAAAATGAGTGTTTCGTTTTAAAGGTTTGCGAGTTCGTACACATTATCAATAATTAAAATTGTTATAAACATATACTATATTGTAATCATTTTAAATTATTAAAAAAATAAAATTAAATATAAAATTTTAAAAACATAAAATTAATTTATTAATAAAAATATAAATTGAAAATGATGTGACTGTCTCTGCACCTCGTTGGGCTATCACCGATAAGGATGAGATTAACGGACCCATATGGAATGACCTTTAAAACATATGTATATATATATGTTCTATAGGATAGGAGGGGGTGACCCCAACTTTTCATTTTGATTTTGATTGATAGGGCTTCTATTCCTATCTGATTGGAAAGCATTTTGTACGACCAAGTTTTTTTTTACACTTGATATAATTTTATTTAGTTTTAATATGTTTATGAACTTTAAATATGATAAATTAAAAGAAAATATAAATTTTAAAATGATATTATTTAGAAATAAAATTATCATGTCCTAATAAAAGAATGTGAGGTTTTGGAATATAAAAGCGATGTCTATCGTATTAGTTACATTGAGAATAATAATCTCGAGATAAGTTACACCAAAGCATTCTTTTAAATATTTGATTTCATATAGAACATTCTAACAAGTAGATCAAACAAGATGAACTAACCATGAACATAAATCCGTGATGAGAACTTGTGAGATTGGATGATAGAGAATGTCATATTTCATACTCCGAAAGAAAATGTCACAATGAACCGATCGTACGTATGAGCTTGTAACGAGAGCATCATTCTCATATAAAAAAACTACACGAAAACTAAAAAATTTTAAAATAATAAAGTTATATATTTTATTAAACATATCTTTTAGTATAATAATAATATAGATTGCAGACTTACATGAAGTTAATTTCTCGAAGTAGCTAGCTTTCAAAGCTAAAATTCCAAAGTGAGGAGCACGTTCGTTTCCATAGCTATCTATATAGTAGCAAACAATCCAACGATGGAGTTGGTATAAAATGAAGATATAGATGTCCCCTTGATGTTTAATCATCATTACTACAATTTTACCCTATGCTATATATTATACAAAGGAGATGGTAGCTCAAGATAGAGAATAGCTTATAAATTCTATGTTCAAACTTCAGAGTTGGAATATTATTTGAATTAATAAAATAAGCTATACCTTTATTCAAGCAAGAGTAAATTAATAATAAAAACATACATTTGATCAAAAGCCTCCATGGCATGTCTATCCAACTTACAATTAATTCCAATATTTAATCTATGATGTAAGAGTCAAAAATAATATGGATGGAAGTATATTTATTAATTATAGTCCAAGTCCAAACTACCTTTGAATTTTATCAAGTTTCAAGGAGTAAAATAGCCCGAGGGATGAAGTGAGAGATGGGTAAGGGCAGGGGTCTATGAGAATATTAAATTATTTTGGTATATATTTTTATCTCTTAAAATTTTATAATTTTATTTAAAATTATAAAAATTCATTTTTCAACATAAAATTTTACGTTTGTCATAATTATTTTCTACAATAAAAAATTATACACGTACCATCTCTGGATTTTATAATTCATGGGAGTTATAGAAATTATTCTGCCAACCTAGATTAATTTAATTAATTAAATATTTGTTAGTATCTTGATAAGTATTAGAATTCTAATATATTGATAAATATTTTTACCATTGACTACTGTTTCCCACAAGAATATGAATATTTATATTACTTGAAGATGACACTAATTAAAGCGAAGTCTTCACTCTTCTAGAGCAGCCTAGCTAGTTTACATCATAACATCAAGAAAAACCTTGGAACCTGACTATCATCGTCTTTCTCCTCCTTCCTTCTTCTGATGCATTAAGAAAATAATAAAAATAGAAGCAAACAAACCATATAACTGGAGAATAATGGTGCTCATATGAAATACGAATCATACCCCCTCTTCATTTTCATATATCTGAATTACAGTTTACAAATGTAATTCTTTTAGAAAGAGTGGCACCAATTGAAATCATGCATGAAATAAGAATAAAAGAAATTAGTAAGAGCATAGAGATCATCAAGGAGGGAGCGAGGGGCTCGGAATGGGGAATTCTTTCTCACTGCTTGGTGCACATGTCCTCTCGAAACTAGATGTACGAACTTGAGAAGTTATATATCTCTATTGATTTCTGTTACTAGGATCGAAGTCTTTCCCGTATTGCCGAGGATATATCGACGAGCTGTCGTAGTTTGTGGAAAATCTTGTAAGGTCCGGGTGGTAGTACTGTGATGATGGGGGAGTGGATGATGCTGACATTGAAGAGAATTGAGGAGATAAAGGCTCTTGATTGAAGCTGAAGAGATTGGAAGTGTAATACGAGATATCGGCATCATTACTACTTGAAAGCAGCTGAGCGTATTGATACAAGTGAGGGTAAGAATCCTGAGTCGACCATGATGAAGGCTCCATTACAGGCGTAGGATTTTGTTCGGAACGGACCGTGCTCGAATCTCCGGGACCGGTTAAATTGTTCACCTCCTTATTCCCTTGGACACGGTCAGGGAAATTTAGCTTTGCCTTGGTGCCTTTAAACTTGAGAGCAGCTCTATCGTATGCAAGGGCTGCATCTTCAGCTGTGTCGAAAGTGCCAAGCCACACTCGAGCTGCTTTCTTCGGGTCACGAATTTCAGCTGCCCATTTGCCCCATGGCCTTTGCCTTACTCCTCTGTAATGTTTTTTCCTCGTGCTCTCTTCACAAACAAAATGATTTATAAGCGTGCATGGTATTTTTGCATGCAATCACGAAATGTTGGACTAAAAGTTACCCAAACCCAATAAACAAAACAAACACTTGTTTCAAATAAATTACTAACAAGCAATTTGCACTACTTCTAATCAATGGTTCCACACCATACCTTTTGCAAATGCATTAAAAAAAAAAGGAAAGCTACATGCAATCATGGCGGTTTAATTTATATCACTACTTTCCTTCTTCCAATCATCAGCTAACAAGTAACTTACAAAGGATATACAAGTAAGTGTTTTAGCTCCACAAGAAACATACAGAAAAGCTCGAAATACAGATTTCCTATGAGCGGTTGCTTTCAAAGTTGGGCACAATTGAAGGCAAACAATGTTAGATTGAGAATGGAAAGATATGTTCCAAGGTCAAAGAAGAAACTATAAAAGAAATGAAAGCATCCCACGAAGTGGAAATTCCTAAAGCTTATCCAGTAGTAAATAGATAAGGATTGAAGAAGTTTATATCTAGCTTGCTTGACCAGAAAACTGGAATTATCTACTATGCCATAATTATTTTTATGCGAAAAAAACTAGAAAAAGGTAGCATGGAATAATATATATAGTGTAAACGCAGTCCAGCACGCTAATTTTTATTTGATTGGGGAAAAGGGAGAGTTGTTTACGGAAAGTGCTTTGGCCTTAGCTTCTGGATACATTGAACTTGACTAACCCTAGCGTGGAGACTTCTTTAGTTTCCGTTTTCATCCCTTGACGAGCCCCTAGCTAGATCTCTCTCTCTATATCTATATAAAGAGGAAAATTTTGAAGGACAAGGAGAAAATAAAGGAGAAGTTAGAGATAGAGATAGATCGTGGCTGATGCGAACAAAACAAGCTGGGAAATGTTTGACAAATTCATCTTTAACACGTAATTTTCTTGAACAGTTTGGCTGTTTGGTTCTGGATGCAGTCTGCAACCCTAGTTGCTACCTAACATAAATAGATTGTCAGCCATAGATGTATAATATATACCTTGATCTTGAACTGCAGGGACTTCTTTCACCGCAGATTGGGGTGCTGATGAGGGATATGATGATGATTGTGGGAAGGTAAACTGCTGCTGCTGATGTTCATCGGTTCTTATCACTCGAGTAAGAGCAGTAACCATGGCCGTCATATCATCTGATTCAGGCCATGAAGCTGCTGCTGCTGCTAATTTACTCTTCTCCTCCGATGTTTCGGATGGAAGCGGACGTTTTCCATGTCTTCGATCCACCTTTTCTTTCCCAGAAAAAAGCTAATAAAACTATGTAAAGATGATTGAGATTAAGACAGGAGCGGATCAAAGACAGTGAGGGTGCAAAATTATTTGGGGCTAAATCTATATAATGGGGGATACGGGGGAGGATGTTTTGGAAGAGGACATTTTCGGGTTTTACTGGATCGGACTTCTTCCGGATTTCTCTTTTTATCTCTCAATTTATAAGAATAAATAAAAATTACTAAATACATATTTTAGTGTTTAAATTTGATTTTAAGTTTAAATTTAGTATTAATTATTTATTAATTAAATATTTAAATTATTATTTATTTCTTTATATGTTCAAATTTATTTTCTAGAACACATTAAGCTATCTCAATGGTACAACAGAGTGTTATTCACCTAGGCTTACGTTTATTATCAATTGACTAATTTTTTTTGAACAAATACAATATAATCACCTCATACTAATAAAATATAATTTTTATATTCTAAATTAATACCTGCAACTGTTTAATTAATTTATGCCAAGATGAAAGCTAGATCATAATAGTATCAAAAAAGCCTCTACTCTAAAATTTTAGAAAATTAACATTTGATCTCTCAATTTTTTTGTTAAAAAAAATTATTTTAAATTTTAAAACTTCTTATTTTTATTTTTAATTAAGCATTCTTTTAATTTTTTTAATATTAAGTGACAAATTTTTTAAAAATTATAGTTTAATCTTCAATTTTCCTTTTTTTTCAAAAACATTTTAAGTAGGCCCTCTCAAAGATAAAAATATTAAATTGAAATCTAGGTATAAGCTCATGTACTACAATATATATCCATCATTTTAAAAGGTGAAAATAAAAAAGAATAATATACTATTGATATCTGAACTTCTCTCAGTGATTCAAATTGATACTTATATTTTTGTTTGTCCCAATTGGTACTATAACTTAACTTCTAAGACATATTTTGAATTTTGATGTACAACTGGGTACTAAAGTGTCAAAAATTAAATTTAGATGTTAATTTGGACAAAAGAATATATAAGGTGACAATTGAAAATAAAAAAATATAAGTAATAATTTAAATATCAAACCTAAATTTAGGTACCAAATACTAAATTAACCAAAAAAATAAAGGAATAAATAAATATGATGTTAAGACTTACAAATCCGCTTGAAAACAAAAGGCCAAATAAATAAAAGTAAATAGCCGTATAAAGGCAACCCAACGGTGCACATGTAGGGATGGCATGGGACCGAACCTCGATCGAATCGGGTTATTTTAAAAAATTTTGAGTTCAGTCGGGTTGAAGTTTAGGGTGAAAATACATAACCTAAAAATTTTGTAATTTTACCTTATATATTTAGAGATAATTACAATTATACTCTTTTATATATTATTTTTTCAATTAACTGTTTTTTGAATAAAAATAATATATTTATTATTATTTCGGATCAGATCGAATTTTTAAATTATATATCGAGTCAAATTCAAATAAAGTGAAATCTTATTCTGATCAAGTCAAATTAGGTGGACCATAAACCTGACCTATGCCCATTCTATGCACATGTTTCTCACATGCACGCAGTTCATTGGCTACATAAATAAAAATATTATTAACATGTGGTTGAGATTCCAGTTGCTTTTAATTTTTTATATTCCATTGCTCAAACTATTTATATTATTTTTTTCACTCTTTAAATTATATAATATAATATAATATAAATAATTAAATAGTTCGATTATATATCTTATTATAATTTATATCAACATTAATAGTAATTTTCAGCTTTTCAGTTTTACATAACAATTCTTAATGAAAACAACATAAATGTTTTTAGGGTAAACTATGCAATTAATCATTAGCTATCACTTTGATTTCATTTTGATCATCTAAACTTTTTTTTTCAAATCATAGCTAAAATCACTTTTTGGTTCCGTATTTATCACTCACCCGTAAAAAACTAACGATGTTAATGATGTGTCACCGTAAGATAATACCACATCATCATTTACATTTCGATAATTCTGTTTTATTTTTTAACAGGTGACCAAAACGTAATTTATTCATATTTTCATGTACCTTTATCTTCTTTTTCAAAAAATCATTAGAAAAACTTCAACAATAGGATTGCAGTAAATCCATTTTCTCCTCAATCCCAAAGGCCGAAGGCCAAAGCCCAAAGAATTTATTTTCAAGAAAAGCCCAAAGAAAGTTGAAGACGTGAAAATGGTAACAGCCAGTTAGCGTGCTGTTTAACTCTTTACACTCATCTTTCTTTATGTTTAAATAAATGAATTGAAGATAGTCGCCAAGAAGGGGATTCCTTTGGTAGCACTTTGCTTTCGATCTGAGATTTTGCGAAGACAAAACAAATCCCAAATCTTCAATTTCCGGTAAGCTCGTCTTTCTTTATACTCTCCTGCTTGTTCTTGTTGTTCTATTCGTTTATAGAATGGAAGGGGTTCCTTTTTGTTATGATTTGCAGTTGAGAATAGTGGTTCGTATCGAATTTTGTTTAGAAAAATCTTGTTACTTAATGTTTATACCAATAAAATATTTTGATGGGTCTGGAAAGTGGAAAAAATACAATCACGCCGATATAGATTCTGTAAAATTTCACGGCAATTTAAAGAACTTCGATTCATCATGCATGGATGTCTAAATTGTATAGTTGATCGCCGCTACATTTTTCATTTTTCATTTCTGGGTTTCATAATTCCTAGTTATAATTTCTGGACTGCGTATAATTCACACTGGTGGTGGAATTTCAGAGTCCTGCAAACAAGAACATGAAACGAGTTTATGGTGTTCTCTGATTCCATTGCATCCTCTTAGAATCATAAATTCGTAATGTTAATGAATTTTTAGTTTCTTTGGTAACCCTGATATAAGAAATGCATGGGGCCTGGGATCTTATATTTTGAATGGTTTAGTTCATGATAAGATATGAAGATGAATAGTAATTTTCCATTAAGTGGATGCCATAACCCTTTGTCTGGTTGGGAATTTCTTCTTTTTCTGAAGCATGTTTTCACATTTCTCTGAGGAAGTGCAGACATAAAGTTCACGCTAGGAGGCAGAGGTTATTGATAAACCTGAAAGCATTTGAATTCTTGTGAAGGAAAGATGCAAAATCAAGAGGGAGTGGTAGCTGCTGGGGAAAAGGAGTCTGCTGTGTCTATTCCCATTTCTGAAACGGAGTCCGCTGTGTCCATTCCCATTTCTGAAGGTGATGACTGGGCAAATTTCGCAGATGATGATATCATGCAGCAACAATCTACCATTCATGATGAGGAAGCCAAGAAAGTTCCATTTGTTGGTGACAAGGTGAGGAAAAATATGATTCTTTGAGATTTCTAAACATGGTCGCATAACTGCGTCTGGTTTATATTTTTAGTCTCTTTTCCGTCTCTTTTCTTGCTTTCTTTTTCTAGCATTCAGTTTGCCGCTGTGCACTATATAAAAGACAGTCTGTCCATTTCTGTCCTTGAATTTACTAGTTCATATATGTAGTAACTTTTGTGTTGCTATTTGACTGTTGTTGCATCCTACTTTCTTTATGCTTTCACTTTATTTCCAAGGCCATTCCTTGATTGTTGTTTCCTTGTCAAGTGCTGATTGTCCGGCCATGCCAATGAAGGATGGTCAGTATTTTCCACATATATTCATGTCGATACATTTTATATGGGTTACTTACATCACCATTTATGGCAGTTTAAATAACTAGGATGCAAATCTTGGTATTATGCTGTTCTTAGTTGTCATCTATTTACATGCCAAAATAACTTTTTCTTTTCATTTACTTGGCATGATTTTCAAAAACCACTGGGCCTTTTTTGGCTGCTTGATTCATATTTTGGTTTGCATGAATATTATGGTCCAAGGACAACTTCCATTCGTTTTGCTGAACTTACTGGTTACATGTGATGCCATGAAAATTTGTTATATGGAACTGCAGGAACCACTCTCTATGTTGGCAGCTGAATATGAATCAGGAAGCCCTATATTGCTAGAAAAAATAAAGGTATCTTGCCTTTATGGTTGTGTGTACATTTTACTCCTTGATGTCAAAATTTTTTGCTTATTTAGTTATTTGTCTTTTCTAAAGAAGAGGCATTGATGGTTCTCCTTAATGCAGGTACTTGAGCAACAATATGCTGCCATTAGAAGAACACGAGGAGATGGAAACTGCTTTTTCCGGAGTTTTATGTTTTCATACCTTGTATGTCATAGTACCTCTTATAGATGTCTTTAATTTATATTCTTCTAATTTGTCTCCATTCTCCAAGCTGCATGTTAGAGTCACATCATTTCCCTAGGAATTGTAAGTTATAAATTTTTTTAATACTTAATAGGAGCATATTTTGGAATCGCAAGACCGTGCTGAGGTTGATTGTATCAAATGCAATGTTGAAGAATGTAGAAAAACACTTCAGAGCTTAGGTTATGCAGAGTTAACATTTGAGGACTTTTTTGCGGTAAACTATTAATTTTTTCTATTTTTTTTATGAGCTGAAATAGTTTATTTAATTCCATTTCTTATATGTTTGGCAATTAGATGTCTTGTTTTTTGTGCATTTTACCCCATTGTAACAAATGTTTAGGTGTATACTTACAGTAGTCATCTTTAAATTACCTTATCATGCAAAGTTTTTCTGGAAAATCACTTTTACAGTCAACTTGTATTTCTCCTCCTCCTCAAATTATTATTATTACTCCCCCCCCCCAACTTTTGGGAAGCCTCCTCTTGAAAGGGGTATGTAGGTGTGGAAAAGGGGAAATATAAGTTCTTCGAGAAATTCCTTATAAAACTGAGCTCTCGAAGAGTTGTCAGATGTTACTTTAATATGCATGTTTATGTTGGGGTGCTGGCACTGGTCTATTCCACCTTATCCATCACAGTTCAATCCCCTGTACTATTTACAAACATAGGTGTCTTCTTTATTCCAAAAATGAATTATACTAAGACATGATGGGGGGTTATTTTACAATTTGTTATCAGATGTTTTAATGTTTGCTCGTGCATTTTCATATTTTCTTATGGTAAAGCCCTTAGCATTTATCCTGTTTAAAGTAACTCTAGGTTTAATGCGCATATAGAGTGAGGAAGCTATAAATATTTTAATTTCTAGGTTGCTGCTTAATCTGAAGGTGTAGTTTTCTTGTGTTATATTCGATGAGTACTTCTTGAGAGAACTGTCTTAATATATTGTATACTTCTGAAATTACTTATTTTGGATATATTGTTATTAGGCTGACAATTTTCTTCAGGAAGCACCTTGCTTATGTTTTCCCATCTCTGACACCAATACTTTTACATATGTGCTTCTATGTATAAAATTTCCAGTTATTCCTTGAGCAGCTGGATTGCGTTCTTCAAGGAAATGAAGATTCCATTAGGTGTGCACATGTTTTTATTTTGCCGTGATATTTTCCTTGTTTAAATTGCTTTTTTTCCTTTTTAGTGCCACATATACTGATAATCATGGTTCTTGAATCCAAATTTTTTAGATGCCTACACCTATTGAAATTAAATGAGTCTGACATTCTTAACAAGGTTTTCCCCTTTGTCAGTCAGGATGAGTTAATACAAAGGAGTCGAGATCAGTCAATTTCTGACTATGGTGAGTGGGGTGAAAAATTGAAGGATTAATGTGTGTTTGTCCTTAGTATATCTCTTGACAAGTTTCGTTGGTTAGTTGTAATGTTTTTCAGATTTGTTACCTCTGGTGAAATACAAAAGCGATCAGAGTTCTTCGAACCCTTTATTTTGGGATTAACAAATGCTACAGTAGAACAGGTTTGTTTAATATAATAAAACTTTTTGTATGCTTACAAAACTCAACATCCCTTCATGCATTATTACTTAGAGAAACTGTTTCCTCATGCCTTCTTGACAGTTCTCCAAGTCATTTACTGTGCTAATATATATGATATTGAACAGTTACATCAGTTATTTTTTTTCAATCATACCAATATTCCTTTGCATATGTCATTTAATACTTGCGTTCTGGTAAGTTGGTGCTTTAACTTTCCCTCTCATGATATAATCTGTTTTGTAGTTCTGCAAATCTTCCGTAGAGCCAATGGGTGAAGAGAGTGATCATGTGCACATTACTGCCCTTTCAGATTCTTTGGGTGTGCCAATTCGTGTTGTGTACCTTGATCGTAGCTCTTGTGACGTCGGTGGTGTCAGTGTAAACCATCATGATTTTCTTCCTACTTCGGGTGATAAGTCAAATGCTACAAGTGGTAGCTCCATTCCTATGAAGCCTTCTATTACCTTGCTATATCGTCCTGGCCATTATGACATTCTCTATCCAAAATGATGCATTTGCGTTTTCTGGTAAGTGATTCTTCACATCCCTAGAAGATCAATAGAGTGCTTTGCTGGACCTCCCCAAGCTTAGGATCACTAGGAACCTAGGACTACATACAGGCCCTAACCTTTTTAGCTACAAGGTTGGTTGGCTCGAAAATATAGTAATTCGTACTGGCGTTTTGGGGGTGACACTGCCCTTAACTACGTTTTTAGGAGCCACTAACACCCTCAATGGCAGCTTGATGCTGCTGTTGATGAATCTTTGTAACAATGGCCAATCTTCTTCCGCCACCCTGACATGAGGTTTCGTGTGTTTTGCAGGTTGTTGACAATGGTCCTTGGGGGAGAATTTACCTTGCAGGGTGTTAATCGGTTGTTATGACTAAACTGTTTGTGCTTCTTTAACTGTGAGATGTGAACAAAAGGTTTCCTCAAGACTTGGGACTTGTATCTTGCTATTGATAATAGCTAGCCTCTCCCATAATCTATGTGAAATTGCATTGGTCCAAATATAAATTGCTCATTGTGAAAATACATAAAATTGATGTTTTCCCACTTTAAATTCATTGTCAGGGGGCTTGATCTGAATAAAGCATTATTAATAAAATAATTATAATTCTTTTATATTAATATTAATTAATTGTTATTAAAATGAAACATGAAGCCCGAGCTTTAGTTATTAAAGAAATTGAAATCATTTCATGAAAGGAATTGACGAAACTTCAGTAGAAGAAAAACTTATTATAAATAATAATTTTTGTTTGTAATATTATAAATAATATTTTTAAGAAAAATAAACTATAATTTCTTAATATTTTAATGTGGTCCTATGGTAGTATGATGTGACTATTTTATTTTATCAACAATTGTTATATTTTTTAATCACGGCTTAAATATTAAAAAAAAAACAGAACATATATATATATATATCGTGGAAAACAGGTGAATGCGACCATAATCTTGAATGTTAAGGATCATGCATTCGTAGTTTTTATTCAAATCCCTCAAAATCTCAGCTTTCCCGCTGCTCTAAACCTCTTAATCCTTCAAGTAGAATTGTTTTACAAACCCTAGACTCGATTCTAAAGAATGGAGACTTAAAGACGGCAAATTTCCAGTTTCAATCTGCTCCAGCATTCCCACTCTCATTTAACTGGTAGGTTTCTTCACTCTCTTTTACTTCGATTGTCTTTATTTTTTGTTCTTTCTGGTACACGCAAATCAAATTTCCAGCTAGAATGAGTCTCACTATGACATACTTGAGAAATCAACTTGTCTTCACTTTAATCAATGGCTGCCTACAATTTCAGTAAGACAATGCAGGTTCTTTATGTTTCCAAAGATTTACTGTGCGTCTTGAACTCGATTCTGCAAATCCATCTATCATTGCTCTGTTATTTTTTTCTATGAAAATTTTGAGAGGAATTGTAGTCCGAGACGTGATTTTAGAAGAAAATTTATTTCTATTTTCGCTTGCTCTGACATTGTGATTTATTACTAATTTCTGCATGCAGATTTCGTGGCTTGATAATTTTTTTTAATGGAAATACACAGAAGAGTTAGTTCAAGGTTTCAAAATCTACAGCGAAGAGTTAGTCCAAGGTTTCAAATTCTACAGAACGGTGGCAACTCAAACTTTGGAATTTGGAAATACACGGAATGCATCTGAAACTAGAAAAACATCAAATACTAAAGTTAGTCCAAGGTTTCAAAATCTACCAACCGGAGTTGACTCAAACATTGAAAATATTTGGAATGCATCTGAATCAAGAAAAACATCGAATACTAGAGTTAACCCAAGGTTTCAAAATTTGCCAAATGTTGGCAACTTGCACATCGAGAAGATATGGAATTCAACCGACTCAGGAAAGACATCAAATACCAGAGTTAACCTAAGATTTCAAAATCTACCAAAAGTGGAGATATGTGATGCAACTGACTCAAGAAAGACATCAAATACTAGAGCTAGCTCAAGGTTCCAAACTCCAAAGTTTACCAAAAAATGGCAACTCAAACACTGAGAAGATACAGAATGTACTTGACTCATGAAAGATATCAGATACTAGAGTTAGCCCCAGACTCCAAAGTATTCCTTTGGAAAAGAGACCCAATTATGTTGGTTGTCAGAAGAAGAAAACATTGAATGATGCTTATAGTAATTCAAACATTGAGAAGATACATAATGTACTTGACTCAAGAAAGATATCAGATACTAGAGTTAGCCCCAGACTCTAAAGTATTCCTTTGGAAAAGAGACCATATGATGGTAGCTTTCAGAAGAGGAAAACATTGAATGATTCTCATGGTAACTCAAACATTGAGAAGATACAGAATGTACTTGATTCAAGAAAGACATCAAATACTAGAGTTAGCCCCAGATTCAGAAGCATTCCTTTGGAGAAGACCCTATTATGGTAGTTGCTGAAAGAGGAAAACATTGAATGATACACACGGTAACTCAAATATTAAGAAGATACGGAATGTACTTGACTCAAGAAAGATATCAGATACTAGAGTTAGCTACAGACTCCAAAGTATTCCTGTGGAAAAGAGACCCTATTATGGTGGTTGTCTGAAGAGGAAAACATTGAATGAGTCTCGTGGTTACTCAAACATTGAGAAGATACAGAATGTACTTGACTCGGGATCAGGAAAGAAATCAAATACAAGATTTAGCCCCAGATTCCAAAGTATTCCTTTGGAGAAGAGACCCTATTATGGTAGTTATTGGAAGAGGAAAACATTGAATGCTTCTCAAGATACAATCATGGTCAAAAAGCACAAGTTGGTAATGCAGAGCTGGAGTGTGTATCTAATGGTTCTGAAACCACTGAAAATGGTGAAAAAGATGTTGCCTATCTACAGGAAACTGATACGAAAGGGGGCAACTATGGTGATGATTTAGCATCTATTCATGGTACAAGTGCGGCTATGGCGGTGAAAGATAAACTCAGGCTGTTCAATAAGTATTTTCTCCACTTCTCTAAGGTAAACTGTTTATTTTGTTTTGCAAGGTTTTTATATAGAAGGAAGCATTGGTGGCTTGGTGCTTATATATATATTTTGTTGAAGGGGAAATTTAGAAATGAAAATGTTTCATGATTTTTTAAACGAAATATTTATTGCATTTCTGTTTGAATGTCATGTTCTGTAAAAGAAGATTGAAGATTTTATTACTGTGACGATAATAGAGTACTTTGTATAGTTTGGAAAAAAATTGTTATGATATTTTTTTGCATTGTGATCTAGGACGTTTAAGATTAACTATATCTTGATCTGTTTGTGTTTCAATGTTGTCCTCTCATATTTGTGCTATTTATGAAGTAATAGCAAGATACCTTATTTTTATGTGTCCGTGGATAGAAAGAGGTTGAGAGATGCAATGGAGTGAATGGTAGTGCTAGCAATCATGAAATTGTGAATGGTGAAACAAATGACTTAAGCATCTTAACTGTCAAATTTATTGCATTTCAACCTTTTTTTCTTTAATTTGTTGGAGCACTTGTATTAAAATTTGTTGTTAATTCCTTGTTCACTAAGACACCTTCTCTGCAACAATTTGATATATTTTGATTAAATATATAAATGAATTGACTTCGAATGTAGTTATATTTTGGTAGTGACTATATCCTAAAGTGAAGTGACACATTCATCAATTCTCTAAATTAGGTTAGTTGGTGAGGAAGAAAAAACAGACACTTAAAAGCTGTATTCTTCTACGTGAACCATGAGTCAATGGCCTTTGTCATGACTTACCGAATTAAAATTCTCTAAAAGGCTAAAAGTTACTCCAGGAACCTGTATGAGCTGACATTCAGGAAAAAACCTGGTTACATTAACTCCAAGTTACTCAGATTTTTTTTTCTGATTGCTTTCTATATTTATGATACATTCCGGTACATCAAAGATGAAATCAAAATGATTGATTCTTGACAAATCCCATTGAGCAAGGGAATGAGCAACACGACTGGTCTCTCCTTAGCATAGAGAACCTTGAGGTTTGGGTTACCAACCAAAATCTAACGATCCTTGATGAACATCAATCCAATCGCTGAGATATCTTTGTGCGAGTTGTTTAGGCGGTTAACAATGGATATAGCATCCCCTCGGCGAATACCTTGTCCCAACCATTCTCAGTGGTCATTTGAAGTCATACTGTAAAACTACAAGCCTCGACTGATTTGGATGTGTGCGTCCCTTCCTGCCTTCGTGCAAGACCCTCGATAGCCATGCCATGGTGTGCAACCAGCCCGAAAGCCATGCCATGCATGCATTGCGGGTTAAAAGTTGAATATCTAAGCATGGGATATACTTCTTTGCCAGGGAGAGTATTTCCCATTTATCCAATTTAAAAAAATCTTGTTCATCTCATATTTATAATACCTATTTGAAACTCCATTTTTTTGTATTTTTCTATAAATAATAAATAAAATAGGTCATCATTTTTTGTGTTCAGTCAATAAAGTCATATGAAGAACCTGTTTCATGCTTCACAAACCAAAACTAAGAACGCAAATCAAATAAATGCTTTTCAGCGTTACAAACAAGAAAATGAAGCACGACACTGCTGAAATTAGACGAGAAGAAATACTGAAAACACCATAAGCTGGAAATTGAGGAAGAAGAAATGAGTACAAATTTCAGAAGCCCAGAACTGGAAGGAAATGATAAGAAAAACGCTATGTCACAGCTTATCCAACTACCAAGGTTAATGTTATAAGATACTATATAAAGAAGCAGAATGCAACTGGTTAGTGTTTGGGGATTGGGTTTAGTGATGGCTGGTTGACCATGATTGAGGATAGTGGTGCGTGGCAGTGTCGATGAACCGGTGAAGTTTAAAATTTTAAATAATTCTTTTTCCAAATTTTGTAAATTGAATTTTTTAAAAGATATTTTTGTATTTTTTAAAAAAATAATTATAATTAACTAACAACCAATGGTATAATATAATAAGACACTAGATTATTTAAGTAAGGTCAGAGATTTGAACCTCGACATTTACAAATAGAACAAGTTGAGTTGAAAAGTTCACTCTCATAATGAGCTTCAGTAAAATATCATTTAGGTAAGTTGATTAATAAATAGGATATAAAAGATTAATTTTAAATATAATGATAATTATTAAATTATTAAATAAATTTATATTTTAACTAAAATATAATAAAATTAGATATTAATTTTTTCTTGTTAAGATATCATGTAATTGAATTAATTATAAAATGATATTATATTTCGGCTTAACTTCTTGTGGGTTGGTTCCTTGGAAAGGAGGAAGATTCACTGGGTAAAGCAATCTAGTGTTTGTTGTCCGGAAGAACTTGGGGGTCTTAGCATTGCTGATCTTTCCTTGCATTATAGAGCGTTATTAGGTAAATAGATGTGGAAGTTCGCTAATGACAAGAATGGGTTATGGCAGAGAGTTATCTCTTGTAAATATAAATATGACTCCACTCGCCACCTTCCTTCCTCGCCTGCGCATAATCGGTCCTCCTTGATTTGGAAAAGCATATTAAATTCATTCAATGATGACGATGAGGTGGGGAGATGCTTAAGGAGGAATTTTGTCATTATGATTGGGGATGGCGCGTCCATATCGTTCTGGGAGGATGTCTGGCTATTTAACATCCCGCTGAAGTTGAAATTTCCTCGGATTTTCTCGCTCGCCTCCAATAAAGTTGGGAGCATTGCGGATATGGGATTTAAATCTGAAGTTTATTGATCCTGGAATATTCCCTTGCGCAAACAGCCGTTTGATTGGGAGCGAGGTCAATGGTTGGATCTGTCCACTGCTTTGGATGAGTTCCAAGCCAGTGGATTAAACAAGGATTGGGTTCGTTGGGATTGCGCAGGGGATGGCCCTTACTCCATCAGCTCTCTCAAAAAAGCAGTTCTCAAAGATAGAAGACCAAATTTAGATTTTTATTGGCAGAAATATGTCTGGAGTCGCTCGGTGTTACCAAAGGTTGACATTTTTAAATGGCAGGTTTGTTTAGGAAGGATCCCTGTTAAATATGAACTTGTAAAGATAGATGTCTCCTTAATATCGGATATTTCTTGCCCATTATGTGTTCTCTTTCGGAATCCGTTAACCATCTGTTGTTCTCGTGTGAGATCTCCTGGCGCCAATGGATGATGTTTGTCAAGCTTTGGGACCTGTCCGTAGTCTTTCATGAAGAACCGAAGCTTTTCCTTCAATCTTGGCATGAAGCCTGCCCTGCCATTCCCGCTTCTTGTGTGTGGCATCTAATTCCTTCTGTTATTTTATGGTCAATTTGGGTTTTCAGGAATGATTTGATTTTCAAGAATGGACGGATGGATTTTCTGCAGTTATTCTTTCTAACGAAGTCCAGATTGGCATTTTGGTTGAAAGCCAAGATTCCTTTGCTTGCCTTATCTACTGAGGATATTGTGGCTAACCCTAGGCTGGTTGATCTTGCTTCGATAGGCAAGGGCTTCGACAAGCCTTGTTCGTGGACAGCCCCTCCTGCGGGCTTTCTTAAGATGAATGTTGACGGGCCCATGCCGGTGAATGGGGCAGCTGGTGGCGTGGGAGGTGTCCTTAGAGATGAGGATGGTTTTATCTTAGGCTGCTTCTCGGAGAAAATCGGACACGGTCACCCTATTTTGGCCGAATTACTTGCACTTAATTGATTTTGATTTCTGCTTAAATTCTCCCCTTGCTGCTTCAGATCGTTTTATTGTGGAAAGTGATAGTAAGGTGGCGGTTAGCTGGGTTTTGAATCCAATGAATTGTCCAAGTTGCTTTAGATCTTTAGTGGGTAATTAAGCGAAAACTGTTGATTCATTTAATATTAGAGTGTGTTTTATACCTAGAGTTATCTATAAGCTGGCAGATTCTTTGGCGAAGAAAGGTATTGGGTGGAGTTTTGCTCAGTTTTGGGGCAGCTGGTGCTGCATTAGTTTCTTTTTTGCTGGTTTGTCAATGTTGTACAGGGGCTGTGTACCTCTTATCCTTGGATGGTTGAACCGTTGTATTGTTATAAGGATTTTTTTTTATAAAGGTTTGGCACTCTTTTCCTCCTTCCGTTATTGAGGTCTCTCCGGGTATGAAGGAGGTATTTAACGAGACTGTTTTCTTATAAAAAAATAACTTATTAACTTCAATAGTAAGATTTAAAAAAAATGCTATTTGAACCTTTAAATTTTTATTTTTCTGACATTTGAATTTTTTATGTTTCTTAATTGAATCAATTGAATTGATTTATTAAACTAACGAAAATTTTATTATTTTTATTATATATTGATATCAATTATTCATATGTAAAAATTAGAAGTTTAAACCCTAAAAATGATTTTCCCCCTAAAGTTCAAATGGCAACAATTTGATTAGACAAATAAACGTTAGTGACTACAAGTGCAGATTACCTTTTATCACCTTTTATCTTTCTAATGGCTTGTACTCTACCATGGCCTCAAAATCATCCATAAATTCAATTGAAGAAAGAGAAAAAAAACATAAAAATCAAATCGAACGTAATGTTTGAACGATTTTGTATTCATAACTTTTACATCCATATCTAATCTCTTACATTTTGTAGATCTTTAGGCAACTTACTGCTTTCTTGATAACTGATTTGTTCAGGTTTCATCCATTTCTTAATTGAACATGCTCTGGTTTGTATAATTGTATGTTCGAAGGGACCAATATGAAACAATACCTACAATTGAAAAAGGGATATATACAAATCCAACCCATTCATGCTAAAACATTTAAAGTAGAATCACAGGTGAAAAAATGCTGCAACTGAAATGAATCATAGGTGATGAATGAAGACATACATTTAACATCATGCACACATTCATTAACACTCCATCGTTCTAATAGGTTGTATTAACATAACGGTTATGGTGGGGGGGGGGGGGGAATGGAACTTGGGAGAACAGTTTAAACTTAAAACTATTTCAAGATATTTTAGTAGCAAACCTTTAAATGGTTGAAAGTTGTTCTCTTCAGCCGTTTAAGTCATAGTCCTCTGGCTGTGGTTTTACTCTATAGCTGCGGCCACCTTTTTGCATAACTGGAGTACCATTTGCTGCACTTGTTTGTGGTGTAGCATCTTCTGTTGCATCATCTTCACCGTCCTCAATGTCACTGATACTGCTTCTTACATTCATCTTCATTCTCCTGAACTCACTGACACCACTTCCTAGTTGAAGATTGCCAAATTTTCTCTTTGGGATAAAAGTCACTGACTTTGGAAGATCACGAGGTGCTTCCTCTTGCTTTGACAATGATTCTGTAGATTTTGAATTTGGAACAAGCTTAAGGACATCCTCCGAAGTTTGAGCACTAGATTCTTCACCAACCTCACTTGATGAATCAAAACTATAGCATGTATACCTAGAAGGATTCCGTAAATAATCTGGAAGTGCTCTGTCATTTTCAGCCTGCAGAGATACATCTTCCGAATCTTCAGGATGATGATCCTCAGATTTTTCAAACTGCTCTTCCAAATCATTTTTAAAAGCACAGTCAAACCTCACACGCTTTTGTGGCTTGGAATCTGTACCGGTGTTCTTTCTTTTTAAGATAGACCTCAACTGGCAACCATTATTGGATGCCTTCACGTCTGATAATTCTCTAATTTCTGAATTTGACATACCACAATCACTAACCTTCTGAGCTACTTCATCATCTTCTTTCAGCCTGATTCTTGCTGCCGTATGATTTGCGCGGTGGTCCTTGCTACTGGAATTGTTGAATGCTCTTTGAAGGATATTATGTGAATTCAAAAAAGATCCATGATCAGAAACGTCACTCATATAAAGGCGTTCACCTGCATTTTCCCTGCCTGAAGCCACTTTGTCATATTCATCTTCCTCTTCCTGTGACACACATTAAACAAACATCAGCTCAACTGCAAATAGATTGGAGGAGAAAAGGAAGAGGTGGTGGTTTGTTCTGAACACAAAAAGGGAAACTCACAGGCACACGGGACACATATTATTCATTAAATTCTTGACAAGTGTATTAAACATCTGAGAAACAATTTCTCATCTATACTCACTCAACTTGTACAATTACTTTTGTTGTTATGGATATAAGGTAGAGCGAAACATAAATAAATTCATCAATTCATGTGAGAACCATTGAAGTTAGCCATAGTCACAATGAATTTTAGCTAATTCAAAACAGTAAATGCTGATACTAATTACTAATTTCTAAACAATCTTCGTAAACTACTTCAGATGTGCCTAATGAATCCATCCTTATAAAATGGTAAAGGCAGCAGGTTTTCAATCATCTGTACATAAAGTTCTTCTACCATAATTAACCTGATCCATTCCTATCATCCTTTATTAATAACACCTTTTGCGAACATAAGTGGAAGCTTCTCAATTTGCAAATAGCTTAAACAAACTCATATTTGATTCACGTTACACGCAATGTAATCTTAATTTCAAAAGAGTAATAATTAATAAACGTTCGCATAATCCTCTTCTCTAGGCAGAAAAGCTTCTAAGCCACCCATCTAAGTATTTGCTTAAAAAAAACAACTTAGCCGCCCTGATAATAAAAAATTATTAACCTAAATAACAAGATAATTTTCAAACACGAACAGAAACAACAACCAAACGAATGCAAACGGTTAAAAACAAAATCAAAGAATAACTAAAGAATTTTATACGGTTTAGAAAACGAAAGAAATTTTAATATACCTCATTGTCGAGAGTGGAATCCATTCCAATATAAGATCTGATCTCCAACTCATCTCCATGATCGTCGATTTTTCTACTACGCGACTGACTCAAACCTCTATCATCGTCGTCGCCGTCTTCATCATCGTTATCGAAATCATCCTCCAGTTCTTTACGCCTCCCACTCCTATACTTCCTTTCCTCCTTCAAGAACTCGTCAAACGACGATGAACACAACGTATCCTCCCGATCGGCGGCGGATTCTCTCCTCCATTCCCTCCTCTCGACCTCGTCGTCGGAGAGAGACCAGAGAAGCGGCCGCTGCTGCTGCTGCTGAGATGAAGAATGCGATGATTGGAGAGATCCGAATACTTTCTGCACTCGAAGTTTAAAAGTATCGTCCATGGTATGATCAGTTGGCTTTGGGAACCGGCTTTTAGGGTTTTTATTTATGTTTCGAAGCACCGCCTTTGCTCAGAGTTTTCTGTTTTGGGGTAGTTTAATTTGAAATAATTGATGGCCGGAATACGGGTGGATAGAATAGGATGAGATTGAACCGGTTTCGTATGGAAACCAATCCCACTTGCTGCTGCTGATTAGATATTCCTTTCAGCCGGACTTTCAAGCTGAGTCCGGCCCAACCGTCCATTCCCTAATTATTTATTCAATCTCTAACAAATATCTAGGTGAATAAAAATATATCAAATTCAACTAATTATTTATTTTTTAAAATAATAAAAATATGATAAAATACTAAATAATTATCTATTATAAAAGTGTATATAATTTTTTTAATCACTTGTGATTTTTTTTAATTATTAGTATATGCATGATGAGACATTAAGACTTTGTTTTGTGTGAATGATGAAACTTGACAATAATATAAATTTTATTAATTAAATAGCTTATATTTATAATATTTAAAATTTAAAATTTTAATCATTTGGTTAATTTTTTATTTTTGTCCCTTATACCAAGTAAAATCTAAAATAATATCATTATATTAATTTTAATTTATTTTCAATTTAAATTTCATTCATAATAAATAATATTATAATAACTGAATCAGATATAGTACATGAAATGATATTTTTCATTTAACTACTAATATTCGAACGATAAAAACTAATTATTAACAATTGGTCTACATGGCATGATGCATCCTTGATTAGTTTTTGAGACTTCTAATAGTGTGATTATGCTAATTTATTTTCGGTCTTAATTGTGTTTTTCTTTTAATAATTCTTACTTAAAAAAGAAGGTAAATTTTACTCCAAATAGATATTAAACTCACAACCTAAAAAAATTGAAGATGTCAATCGAGAATTTTTAACCATTTACTCTAAAAATTATTGATAATTGTATTTTTCTTTGACAATTGATCTACATGATATGATGCATCCTTCATTAGTTTTTGAGACTTCTTTATGTTAATTTATTATGTTTTTTAACATTTTTTTCTTAGGTAATGGAAAGAGAAATTTTACTCTTAATAAGTATTGAACTCAAATTTATAATATATATATATATATATATCAACTAAATTTTTTTAATCATTTAGTATAAAAATTATTATTAATTGTATTTTTTAAGACATTGACATTTTTTTGTACAGTAAAGTTTAGGTTAAAGGTGACTCCTTCAGTTCAGGGTTATAGTGTAACACTCTTAACCCGTATATGTCTCGATATACGAGTCAAATATGTCACATCAACTTGAAAACATTTACTGAACTGAAATTTTCATAAAAAATTATTTCCTTTGAAAACACTCTTATTCTAACTTTAAAAATCTATTTTAAAGTATATCTCAACTTATAATTTATTTCTTTATTAAAGGAAAATAAAATCATTTGTTAATCAATAATTTCCTAAACCATGTCTTTTTCGTAAAATCTTTTAAAAACATAATAATGTAATAAATTCTTGTCATGTATAGATACCGATAAAACTAAACTAAGTAAAATAAACTAAAATAGTTATAGTTTACTATTACAAATTATTTAAAATAAATACGATGAATAGAAACTACTGACATAATTATACATGCCACTATAAGTCAAAGGAAACATCATAGATGTCTTACTGATACTGATGATATGTATGTCTTCCCAAAAAGACGCTTCGATAGCTCCTTACTGATCGTACTTATCCTTATTAGAACCTACGCATGAAAATCATCATGCGCTAAGTATAACTTAGTGAGGCAATAATAATCTAAGGTGGGAAAAATCTGAAAAATATCATAAACATAAATAAAATAATTCAACTTAAAACATTAAACTGGCAAACCAACTTATCCAAGTCGATTTCTTCACTGAGACATGAAATTTTGTTTTAAATCATGAACTCATGAAAATTCTGATAAATCATATCTGATAAAATAAGCATATCATGCTTCCTGTCAACTGGAAATCATTCACAACTTGCATATTCATTTTCATAGCCCAATGCATATTTATGAGAATATAAGATACGTGAGTAAGGTGCGCACTATGCACAACACGGTGTAAATCGTAACTGATAATGAGATATGATGCACTTCAGTGCCATCATAACCTGAATAAGCACCATCGGTGCTGGACATTGATACACGAATGTACCAAAGCTGATATGATAACATTGATACACGAATGTACCAAAGCTGATATGATAACATTGATACACGAATGTATTAAAGCTGATATGATAACATTAATACACGAATGTACCAAAGTTGATATGATAACATTGATACATGAATGTATCAAAGTTGATAATGGATAAATACTCAACTAATGGTATGCCAAGTGTACCAACAATTCTCATTATTACACACAATGGGCTGACGTATCATAATAATTTCATTATAAAAATATCATGCTTGGGTAGTTCATACCTTAAATCATTTATAAAACTGATATAGAATATTATAAAAATATTCTTTGTAAAATTTATAAACCATGTTGTAAATTGAAATGAGTTTGACTTATCGTAAGTCGTCCTCGATCAAAATAATTAAATAAATAACTGCACTCACCTTTGCCTCACTACAGAACTTGTATATAATAATCCTAGTCACGAGCTTTGTCCTTTCCTTTCGAATCATTCGGATTGCTAGATTTAACGTAGTCTGACAATACCAAATTATAACACAAAAATTGTATGAACTACATAATAATATCGTACTACTATAAGCTCATTCTAACATTTGAAAATCTATAAAATAAAATCGATAACTAAATCGATATCAACCAAACTCATAACTCCATTATAACTTCAAACTTATCGAAACACTTATGAACTTTCATAAATAATTATTCCCAACATGATTATTCAACTTTTACCAATTATAAAATCAAACCACATATTTTAAATTCTTTCTAGAATTCAACTCAACTTTTCCTTTAATTAATAATGATCCTTCACCATTATGATAATTGTACATTAATTAATAAAATTCCAACACTTGAATAAAATACCCAAATAATACTTATTCGTTTAAGAACTTGCAAACAAGTTCCCAAAGTTTTGGAACCTTTCGAATTCCACCATCTAGCCATTAAAATGAATTCTTTTAGAATTCTTCTAAACATTTCCAATTTATTCAAAATGGTATCTCGTCATTTAACTCAAATTCCAAGCATCCAAAAATATACTCAATATTTAAACATTACTCTTCATCTTCTAATCCATTTCAACTTAAATTCTAAAATGTTCATATTCAAACAACTTGCACTACCTTTAAAGAATCAGTATTCTGTATTGATATACACACTTGAATTTAAATTTGTTTATTCCGTTGAAAACTAGACTCGAATACGAATCTATCCATATAAATAACTCCTTCTAATTCATTTTGTACAATTTATGGTGAATTTTCAAAGTTGATCGATAGAATCTGCTTTGTGTAGAATCTGCTGCCTCTTTTTCTGACTTTATTCACATATTTTTATACACTTTGAAATTGATCCCCATTTGTTTTAAACAAAACTAGATTTATATACGAACAAAATATATAAAAATCACCTCCAAATAATTTTTATAGAATTTCTGGTGAATTTTTAAACTTACTGTCATATTCAAAATCTAAAATGTTTTCATTAACTTCATTCTTAGGTTTTTCATCAATTCTTAAAACCAATTCTTTAAAATCACTTAACTCTTTATAACCCCTAAAACACAAGAAATCAACATCCCCTCATCAACTCAAGATGAACTTGAACATAAACCCTAGTGATATTCATGTCAAAACGTAGCGAATTGAACGTAGAACATTTTTCCTAACTACACCGAAGTCTAAAATCCTTCTAAAATAGATCAAAAATGGGAAACTAATTTTTTTTTCTCACCTTGGAGGGGTTCACGGCAGCAAGCTGATGGAGAAAAAGAATTCTTGATTTTTCTAGTAATTTTCATGATACACATGTCATTTAAATTGAATTTAAAATTCAATTAATGAAAAATCACCAAAATACCATTAATAAAACTTGATAATTACCAATTGTCATTGTCATATTTTCCATTAAAATATTCCTTGGTCAAAGATGAATCAATTTGACTTTGATTTCGAATTTGGCTATGTAATTTTTAAAAATTGCATTTTAGTCAGTAAAATTCCATTATTTCGTACAAATTTGAAAAATTGCACTGTTTTGATCAAAATTTCTCTGATCTAAAATACGAAAATAATACTTCCAACCATTTCCCAACATCCTTCAAATTTTCGTAAAATTACGATTCGATCCGAATATTCGATTTCAATATTGAACTTCACTACTTTATAGCTTTTAACACAAATCTCGTATCAAAAATCCGATTCCCACTAAAATCTCTATTTTAATCCAAACTATTCATACCATTTATAATATATATATATATATATATATATATATATATATATATATATATATATATATATATATATATACTTTAAAAAATTACAAATTTCAGTCCCTACACTTTTCAAAGTTTATACTTTAACCACTAGACTTTCAAAACTTACATTTTAGTCACTGATCAAATTTTAGGGTATTACACATAGCATACCTAAGACCCAATGTGAATTTACATAGGAATTTACGGATTACCCACCAAGAGTGACGATCGTAGTATCCTAAGACATTCATGTTTGTACAATGATTTGTAGTTTATACTTTGTCCCACATTTATGTTATATAACTTTTTTCACTAACTGTTTTAATTAAAAATATGCCATGAAACATTTTCTCAATACATTAAATCATTACGTATATTTTATAAATTATAGTAACATAATTAATACAAATATTACATATAAAGCATTAATTTGTATTCATCATTCTCAATACGGATAATTTTCTGAAATATAATGTGTGGAATAATTTCAAAGTTAAAGCTCTAAAAAGAACAATAATCAACAGATATATTAAACTAACACAACACAATTATTTTTGAAAAAAAGTTTAACGACACATAACTAATTCTAAAAACAAGACAATTAACGTTTTAAAAAAGTATCTAAAAAAGGGATGAACTAAAATCGGATTGGATCTTGTTTGGCTTAACTTATTAAAATATCAAGTAAATTTTAAATTTAAATCAAATTAATTCGAATCAAATATTAATCGAGTAGAATTTGAATTATTCAATTATCCACACCCACGATACTAAAGAGTAGTGAATTAGAAAATCTTCTCTCATCACTGGTTTGCTAATGGGATATATATAATTCTAAAAGCGTGCTGTTGCCACATTGTCATTGCTCTAAATCATTAACACGTTGGTAAACATCACGATTGGTCTGTCAAAAGAGGACATTGATAGAATGAAACTACTTTTTATGTATATTATTATATTTTTACAGTTTTATATGATTATTAGCGATTGCAATATAAGAATTAATCGTTAACACTTTCCATTTTTATAATATATATTAGATTTTATTTTGCGGATATAAATGATTTTTATTTTACTTTATTTAATAATTTTCTCTCATTTTTCTTATAAGAACTGAGAATGTTTATGTTTGTTTTTATAACATGTTTTTTTGTTGGTGTGGTACTTTTTTAAGATAAAATTTATTTTCTACTATCGATTTTTATTTATTTAGGGTTAATACAATAATATTTGTTTAATGGTTTTTAATCATTTAACATTATACGTTCATACTCTTATGCACATGGTATTCGAATTCAGGGTCTCAAGAAATAACAATAATTCTTTAATCACTGAGGTCGTTTGGTTCGTGCTAATCTATTGTACTTTACACGCTCATGTTAGTAGATTTCATATTAGTAGATGTTCATAATCATTTTTAATTAATCTGGGATAATACAGTTTAGTATCTGTTTAAAGCACAACTTTCAACCATTTGATATTTTGAACGCTGATATAATTGGAATTTATAATGTTCGAACTCGAGACCTCAAAGAATAACAACAATTCTTTTACTACCGATATTGTTTGGTTTGTGCATGTTCATAATCATTTTAAATATGATATGATAAAGTTATTTACTTGCCAATGTGTTATTATGGTTTATTATTATGCTACTGTTAATATTGTTTATACGTCACCAACAACAATGAAATTTATTAAAGTTATTTTTGTTAAAATTTTTAATATTTTTATGCGATTGGTAATAGTTTTTATTTTTGATAAATTTAAAAAAATGATTTGATTAATATATTTTAAGTTTATATACTCTTTTTTTAGTTATGATTTTTATTACATATATTTTTATTTATTCGATAAAATTAAGTATTATTATTATATAAAAAATATTTTAAATGAAAACACTAATAGATTTTCATTATAATTAATTAATGGAAATGTAGAGCATAGAGACGGAATTAAATTATCCCAAAAGAAATAGAATATTACATTTTGATACGAAAACAAGAAAAATGAAAATGGAAGAGGGGAAGACTGATTCTTCCAGTTTGGGTCCCAATTCCTCGATTGCTGAGTTTGCAACACAGAAGCATCTTTCAGTTTCTATGATCAATCACCACTCGTTCATGGCGCGTGACTAACCAACCTTCGTACCATTCAAACTTCAAAAAGTAGGAAATTCAATTTCACGCTTATCCACTTGCACTCGCCTTTCTCTTTCCTCTCTCAAACAGAGTTTACTTGGGAATAGGAATGTAAATGAAACGAGATAGATCGTGAGTTATTCGAAATCAATTCGATCAAAGTTCGATAAATATTCGGATCAATTAACAAGTTAAAACGAGCTACTTGATATTCGACTCGAAAAACTCGTGAGCAACTCGAAAATATAATATATTAAAATTTTATTTAAAAAATAAATTAATAATAATATTAATATTTATGTATTGATTTTTTTTAAAAATACAATAAGATTTCATGTATTTAAGGTTCATGTTTGAGTTTGAGGCTTTAATCAAGTTAAGTTTAAGGATTTTTTTTTTCATTTCGAGTCTTTTCGAGCTGCTCACGAGCTTCAGTTTAGGATTTTGAGTTCGAGTCGAGCTTAAAAATTTTAAACTCGCGAGTTTTCGAGTCGAGTCGAGCTCAGCAATATTCGAGCTTGACTTGGCTTGTTTACACCCCTACTTAGGATGAAGTTTTTTTAAAAAAAATTAAGGTTCTAGGCTTACCCCCTATCAAAAACGCACAGTCGTAATGCCGTTTTCAAGAACATCCCCGATACGACGACGTAGGTCGTGGTATTAGACAACACACTTTTAAAACATTTGGCTTCACGAAACGAAACCGTAAAGGGGGGAAAACAAAAGCAAAAAGTAAAGAATAGTCTAATTATGTATGAGCCTTCGCTTTTACCTAAGACTGTTTTGTCTTAGTGTCTCACTCTTAACTCATGTGTTAGGCTTAATAATGTATTAAAAAGAGCTTAATTAAGTCCCTTTTTTGTTTTAATTTCACTCTCAATTTCCAAGACTCCACTTCCTATAATCAAAATCTTATGTTTTCTTGTCCCTTACCCTCTTCACTTTCTCTTTTGTTACTCTCTCTTTTTCTAGGGTTTTATTTTTTTTTATTTTCTACTTTCGGTTATTTTTTAAAACCTTAAACAGTACACAGAAAGTGAAGAAAGGAACTGTAAACAAGATTTAATAAAAGTTCTTTTTTTTCCAATGTTAATCAAGTTGTCAAGTGACGGCGTCTTTCCTCGTTTTGGAGGGTTTAAATCAGAGTGAAAGGGAGATCTCAAGGGTTTAGTTTTGTCGTACGAAGGATCGATCATTGATGTAATGGTAATTAAGATTTATCGTGAAGATAAGAAAGAATCGTGGCCTTTACAATGCATTTCGCTAAGCTTGATGACTCTCCCATGTTTCGCCAGCAGGTTATTGTCTCTCAATCTCTCTCGATGTTCTTTACACTAGAAGGAAGTTGGGAACATTTTAGATTTATAAACTCCCCCCTCAAGATTGTTTCCATACTTAGCCGAATTATTTCAGGTTGCATATTTTGATTGCTGTTTATGTAACCTTCAGTGCTTTATTTGCGTTTGGTTGTCGGAGAAAAGTAAGGCAAAAGAAACAAATCAAACGGGAATATCTTCCCCCTTATCCTTCAAATTTTCTAAGCTAAGTGAACGGAGCAGTAAGATGCTTCAAAGAATTTAGCTAGATCAGCGGTAGTTATTGTATAATTAATGTTGTAGATTTTGCCATAAAAATATTTTGCAGATTTGGGGAGATTTATTTTATTCCAAATAGAGTTAGAGCATGTGCGAAGCTGGGTTTCTAGCTTGACTATCAGTATCCACTATTGGTGGGTTTAAAAGACTGTCTAAACTTTAAAGAGCGATCCTTGATCTTTTCTGGCATGAGATGAGTTGTATTATCTGAAAATTGAAACTATATGACACTGATTTCTTGAAGATCTATTATGCTTTTAGTTTTGACGTGATTAAGTTCTCTTTATGAATAGGAAGAGATAAGAATGAAATCAAGTTAGAAGATTTCTACTGAACATTTTATCTCATGAATATCATTGTCAGGCGCCAATCTGACATCCACATTTGTGTTTTGTACATACTGATTGTAGTGGGATGGAGTATCTCATTTTGCTTTAAGACATTGTTTACCTTTACAATCATGCATGGTTACAGGGAGATTGCAACTGTTGTTTCTCATGGATTTGAAATGTTCATATGATCACTTGAGTATCATGATTGGGCTAGCTTGTATATGCACGTTTCCTTGCTGCCAACTCAATAATGGTTGCGATTTCTCCATTATTTTCTTTTTTAAGTTTCAAAATAAAATATTTGATTTCATGTCCTGTTAATTTTATGTTCTAGACATGCTATTCCTACGATGAACACTAATTCTGGAGCTTTATGAGATAGTATATACGTTTGGCTATTTATGGACCATGTATAAATAATTTATATATTTTATTTGGCGGGACAGATACAATGCATGGAGGAAAGTGCCGAGTTGTTACGGGAGAGAGCTTAAGTTTACAAAGGATGTCGGTATGGGATGTATATAACATGGCCAAACATGAATTCTGAATTAAATAAAGAAATAGTTCAACATGTCTATAATGTGCGAAGTATTTGTTGCTTGTTTATTTATGCCTCTTTAACATAAAGGGTGCCTGTTACTATGCATTAACAGTCATTGCCTATTTTTATTCTTAAATTTATGCTAGTTTCGGGTCTTTCATATATTTTTCAACATTCTTTCTTACATGTGGGTCAAACATATGAAGACAACTGAATGCAACCTTGCATTATAACAAAAACTTAAATGATTATGTATGAATTAGTTACTTAAATGATTATGTATGAATTAGTTATTCTTCTGTGGTACTTGACCCTAGGTCCATGTTTGCTGCTTTACACAAGAATGCTTGATACTCAAACTGTCCTGTGTAAAAGTATTATATTGTAGCTCTAGCTCTCAGGAATACTTTTTTTTATTCTTAATGGCTTCTTCCTCTGGAGAAAAATGGGGTTGCTACTGGAGCCTTGAATTGGGGAAGTATTTATTTGCATATTTATTTCTCTAATTGCAGTGAAGGACTTGGGGAGGGATATGATGGGGACATTGCTTTTGCAAGTGCCCTTGAAATGTTTGGTGGAGGACATAATGACCCTATTAGTGTGGCTTTTGGAGGTATGTATTTGTTCAAATTTTTTGGCAAAGTTTTTTGTTCCACTTGCCTGAATATTGGTGGAGAGATGGACAGTCTTAGGTGGTAGCAACTTCATTTTTTTGCTTGGTGTACTTCCTATTATAATAATGATTGGATTGATCTCTATAAGATGTCCAAAAGCCTTTCTTTTTGCTTTTTCATTCTGTTCTTGGGTTCTAACATTACATGTAGATCATATTTTGGTTTGGTACCATATATGTAATTGAACCTTTTTTCGCTTCTTTAGGGCCGGTTATGACCAAGTTTACCATAGCACTGAGAGAAATTGGGACACACAAGGAAGTTCTTCGGTCCCAGGTAATTCTCTGAACTATTGTTTTAACATGAATTCAAATTTATTATTGAGGAGTGATGATCTAATATAACTGGTTTTGGATAAACTTACTTTTTGGCATTCTCCAACTGCTGCTGTAAGAATACCTGCTGAAAGACAATGATAATCATTTAGAAATTTCAGTAACTAACCTTTTGTTGGTTGTTTTCTGCATGGATATTTAACATTGCAATGCTCTAAATCTTATAGAACTTTCCTGATGTCAATTTTTAAATTTTTCTTTTCAACATCCCGAGAATGCAAATTTTACGACTATATTGAACTTTGACATTGTATAGTTCATTGTCCAATCATATTAACATACAATAATATTAGAAGTTGTGAACTGCTTTTTTTCTCTCTCCAGGTTGAAACTGAGCTAAATGACAAATTACTGCAGTTTGTCAATATTGATTTACTTGAGGTCAAGGTAACCGCCTTTCTCTCAAATGAGATTTAAATTACCCTATAAAGTTGGGAGGATTTGGAATTAGCTAAAAGCTGGGCTGCCTTAACTTTTGTTATGTAAAAACAGTCTTATCAAGAGAAACATAGGTTGTTTAGTTATCGCTTTGCTATATATTCATCCAACTTCTGATAATCTGTGTATTCTTCTTGATCATATATGTTTTATTTGTTTAGCCGTTTGTTTTAAAATATCTTATCTGAGTGCAGGAAGCACGTAAACTCTTTGACAAGGCTAGTCTCATTTACGACCAGGTGCTTTAGAAGTTAAATTTATTTTGCCTATGTAGTTCGTTTGCTTGCTTTATTTTCATTGCTTGAATGTGATAATATAATTTTGAGTTGGCCTAAAATCAAATTTATAGTTATATTGTATTGCTTTGTGTGATCTTGCAGGCTCGTGAAAAGTTTCTTTCACTGAGGAAAAGTACAAAGAGTAATATTGCCAATGTTTTGGAAGAGGTATCTTGCAAAATGGCTTGCTTGATGGTTTATAATTTCATGTATCTGACATTCTTACCTGCATAGATATCATGTTCATGTATATTTTAATCTGACATGGTTGGAGTTATTCTAGGAACTTCATAATGCAAGGTCAACATTTGAGCAGGCTCGTTTTAATCTAGTGAGTGAATTGCTAGCATATGATTTCTAAATTGATGTTGCTTTGACAGTTCAAAATTGGTTCAAGATAGTAATTACACTACTGTGGTTTACAATTACAGGTAACTGCTCTTTCAAATGTTGAAGCCAAAAAGCGATTCGAGTTTCTGGAAGCTGTCAGTGGGACTATGGATGCACATCTTCGATACTTCAAACAGGTTATCACATGGCATGACTTCTCTATTTCTTTATCTTTGTTTCAATCACTTGCTGAATGCATTGCTCATGACGAAATTTGGTCATTTATAGGGCTATGAATTATTGCATCAGATGGAGCCATACATTAATCAGGTTTGTTATCGTAACTTCCCTTTAGTCTGAGACATATCTTTACATCTCTGATTGTGTTGTATTTTATTCATCCCATTGTTCCTCAAACAAAAAGAAAAATAATATCCCTGTACCGAATACGTATCAGTTGTTCGAGACATTAGTCATAGTATGATAGTATGTTATAAGATGCACGGTTTATGCTTGGCATGCCCATTGAAGCAGACCAAAGGAAAAAGGAATCTTGTATCTTGTATTGATGATTCCTACAGTTCTGATTCTACTATGCCCGTATATTTACTAATTGTTGTACTACAAGTTTGCAGGTCATTACCTATGCACATCAATCAAGGGAAAGATCCAACTATGAGCAGGCAGTTTTAAATGAAAGAATGCAAGAGTACAAAAGACAGGTTGACAGAGAGAGCAGATTGTCTTCTAATGGTTCTAATGGTTCTCCTAATGGAGATGGTATACAAGCAATTGGTAGAAGTTCACATAAAATGATAGAGGCAGTAATGCAGTCTGCTGCGAAGGGAAAGGTTTAAAGAAGATTTGAAGTTCTCCCGGATTTCTGTTTGTGAAATTTTGTTAGTCCTATTGATACTTTTGCATCTATGTACCCTGTATCTGCATCTGAAACTTGGATATTCCTCCAGGTTCAAACCATTCGACAAGGCTATCTGTCAAAACGTTCATCAAGTTTGAGAGGAGACTGGAAAAGAAGATTTTTTGTCCTTGATAGCCGTGGGATGCTTTATTATTACCGTAAGCAATGCAGCAAATCATCTGTAAGATTCTTCCCGCTCTCCAGCTTAGGGAAAACATTAAGAAGTATAGTGCTTGAGGTGCAGTTTATGACCAAAGCTCCATTTTTGTCTTATGATTTTTCTTGGTGTATTAATAGGGGTCTGGCAGTCAGCTTTCCAGTCAGCGAAATAGCTCTGAGATTGGATCTGGATTATTGGGTCGGTGGCTTTCTTCTTCTCATCATCATGGTGGTGTTCACGATGAAAAATCTGTTGCCCATCACACAGTGAATCTACTTACGTCAACAATTAAAGTTGATGCTGACCAGTCAGATTTGAGGTTTTGTTTTCGGATAATTTCTCCAACCAAGAATTACACTTTGCAGGTATGACTTAGGTGCAGCCTGAGCTTGTCATTAGGGGTTAACTTGTATCTAGATTTTTTTTTTTAAATTTCTGGGATCAACCAATTGCTTGATTGATGGGCCATAAATGTTACATTGCGTAGGATTAGGGTTATTATTTGGAATTGACCCCAATAATGTTTTGTGCTTGTCAGTGCAGGCAGAGAGTGCACTGGACCAAATGGATTGGATTGAAAAGATAACTGGTGTTATAGCTTCATTACTTAGTTCTCAGGCCCCTGAAAGGGTAATTACTCAACATGTAGCATGATTTTTGCTCGCTTATTCCTTATCAATGTATTGACAGTTGTACTTATATCCTTTTCAGTGTCTTTCTGCCAGTCCCATGGGAAGTGGTCATCATCGATCTGCCAGTGAGAGTAGTTCTTTTGAAAGTTCTGATTTTGATCACACTGCTGTTGAAGATTATAATGCTGAGAGAAACCTTGTTATTGCTCATAACGAACGCCAATCAAGGGCTTCACAACATCAAAGGTCCTGTCTGAAAAATGAAAAGCCAATTGATGTACTGCGAAGAGTTTGTGGGAATGAGAAATGTGCAGATTGTGGTGCCCCTGAACCTGATTGGGCATCGTTGAATCTCGGTGTTCTTCTTTGTATCGAGTGTTCTGGTGTTCACCGTAATCTTGGTGTTCATATATCAAAGGTGAAGTGAATATATTGTATATGACCTTTTTTATCATCCTTGTGAGTTATGAGAAAGTCTGCATCTCTCAAGAATTAAGTGTTCATATTTCAGGTTAGGTCGCTTACTCTTGATGTAAAAGTATGGGATCCATCTGTTATAAGTTTGTTTCAATCGCTCGGCAATACCTTTGCTAACTCAGTCTGGGAGGAATTGTTGCATTCAAGAAGTGCTTTCCATGTTGATCTTACCCTCACGGGGTATAAATCTTCTTTTCTTATGATTAAAATATAGTATATGTAGTAAGGATAAAACTAAACTTGGTTCTCTAGCTGCTTGTCACTAATGCTTATTATTCTGGTGATGAAGCTTTTACAAGTCTGATAAACCGCAGCTGCTGCTTATGGGAAAGCCTTGTCATTCTGATTCTATATCTGTAAAGGAGAAGTTCATTCATGCAAAGGTTTAGTATTTTTCCTTAAACTGTAGTCTTAACATTATTTTTGATGTATTTCATATAGTTGCTTATGGGTTAACATGATAGATGTTCTTGTTTATATGTTTTCTTTGAAGTTGGATAGTTGTATATTAATTCTGGCTCCATTGTCGTTAAGGCATGCACCTAAGCACCAAACAACAAAAAGCTCTCAAACCCTTTCGGGTGAGACATTTGATAAGGTGCATGCCTGGTGTGCCTAGGCATGCTTTTTGGGAAGGTAGCTGGTGTAATGAAAATGTCTGATTGAAATTCTCTTTGATTTCCTTGATTTTTAATTTTTTTTTTCTTCAACTTCACCTTTTAATAGTAAAAAAAATGTGACAATATCAGACTACTTATTTTTTGAATGTTCGAGTATTCAACAACAAACAATTATAAGAAAATCATGCATAATGGCCCACAAAGGGGGGGGGGACTTTTGCATGTTTTATTGGACTTGCTTTCGGGAGATTGTTGTCGGCGTTATTTATCTTATCATGTATATACATGTACAAACGTACAAAAGCACAAAGACTCATTTGACCTTGCTTCAGTCAGATGTGTGTTCTTGTGCCTTGGAAAATATAAGGGTTATAGTTCCTAGAATTTGCCTGCCGCCCTTGACAACACTGCTTAGAATACAAACATATGGATGAGATGAGTATAAATTAAATTTTGGGGGTTTGTTGAACAGATATAAATTCCAGAACTTGAGCAATGTGAATAGTTGTGGCTGTTTCAGCTTAGTTTAATAAGAGTACGACTTATTGTAATTGTTTTTACTTTCCTTTTATGCCTTGTGTGTAATAGTGGAAGGTCTGACCACCTTCTGCCTGTTAACTCCAATCAATATGTCCTTTTTGCTATGCTCTTAATTTGATGATTCATAAAAACCTAGAATATTCTCAGGCTAGAAGATAGAACATTTTCTTCTGTTTTGATCAATTTAAGGCTATCTCTGTTCATGTTGGGTTTTAAGGAGTATTTGATCAATTTCTAATTATTTGCTGTTTGTAACCATGGAAAGAATTTTCCTTTTTCTTTTGAACTCAGTATGCAGAAAAGCTTTTCATTTGCAAGCCAAAAGATGAGCAACGTCCTCAATCAGTTGCACAACAGATTTGGGAGGCTGTTCGTGCCAATGATAAGAAGGCTGTATATCGTTGCATTGTTAATTCTGAAGCAGATTTAAATGCAGTGTATGAACAATCTTCTGTGTCTTCATTAACCCTTGCCAAAGTGATGCTACTGCAAGAACATTCAAATGTAGGAAACAATTCCAGTTACATCACAGGGGATTCATCAGACAGATCATCCGCTAGCTCTTTCAACTTGGTGAGTACCAGTGAAGGCCAAACCGCAGACGATTTAGATGGTTGTACCCTACTTCACCTTTCTTGTGAAACTGGAGACATTGGTATGATTGAACTTCTGTTACAATATGGATCAAATATAAATGTAATGGATTCAAGAGGTCAAACACCCCTTCATCGATGTATTCTCAAGGGAAAAGCTGCACTTGCTAAATTACTCCTTACCAGGTTATTGGTGGATCCTTACTATAGAATATTATGTTCGATGAGTTTTCATAGCGATTAACATGTGTTTGAGATTATTGATTTACACCACTGACTGTGATTTTGGAATGTTACAAAGATTTCTCTTGGTTTCCTGCAGGGGAGCTGATCCGCAGGCATTAGATAGGGAAGGTAAGACCCCTCTTGAGCTTGCAGTGGAGTCAGATTTTGATGACGGTGAGGTACTTGCTTTATTATCCGACTCAAACGGGTAACTAGGGTAAAAAAGAGTTAAAAATGGAAGTTTGATCTGCACCTGAAGTGTGAAATTTGAAGATGTATTGGTTTTGTTTTGCTTTTTGGTATAATTGTAATTCTAATATCTAAAAGTTGAAAAGCCGGTTGTAATCGAAATGGATGTCTCCAATGTTTGGAGAGTGGGAGATTGTGCTTGTACTAGGCCTGCCCTTATGGGCATACTTGAAAGTTAGTATATCAGGCAAAGATGGTTTGGTTTTACATGGAAGGGGCTGGCATTATAAAGTAATAATGCGTGTTGTGTTAGTTGGATATGGCTGATGAGTTGAGGCTAGATCTTAGAGTAATTGTGTTCATGTACATTTAATTTATATGTTGTAGTAGTGGTGCTCTCAAATATATATGTTTTCATGATTGCACTTAATTATATATTTGGTAAGAGTTTGAGAATACAAAGGTTTGGAACCAAATCAAAGATAATGATTGGTAGTGGCTTAAGCAGTTGGAGGCTGCCAATAAATTATATTTCAGTGGAAGTTAAAAATTCAATAAAATTGAGAAGATGAACATCATGGTGTCTTGAAAGAGACATCATCAATCAGACCAAAGAAGTCTGAAGAGTTCATTGGCGATACGGCAAACTTTGATTTGAGTAAGAATGTTTTAAAGATTTGAAATAGTGTAATATTTATGTGTGAGAGAGAGAGAGAGAGTGAAAGGATACATCTCAAATATCAACTTCACAACCCATCAAGTGGCTAAAATAAATGTTTTCTATAGAGATTCGGGCTAAAAGAAATATTGTTATATATATTATGTTTGTAGGATGTGTACGTATTGTTAATTGATTAAGAAAATTATGAATATATATTATTTAGTAATTATCTAGACTAGTCAGCCGTGTAGTGTTGACAATATTAAGTTGCACTTTTAACTCATTCAAATCTTATAGATCATATTAGTTAGAACTCGATAAGAACTCATAACTCGGCGTTAAGAAAGAATAAAATCCTACCATCTTTGTAAAGTATAAGGCTATTTGTAATGTTAGCATGGGTGCCTTGTGAGGATGAAACAAAATGAGATTTAGTTTCGTATCTGTATGGAGAGTGTGTAATTGTTACTCTGTATTTAAAATATGGTGAATTGGACTAAGCAAATCAAGCCTTGAGTCTTAGATGAACCTGATACTGCGGCTTGGACCGCAATAACATGAGGCCATGCTTTCCATGACAAAATTTGTGAAAGCTAAACAGAATGAACGAATTAATGATAATTCTACGGCTGAATCTTCAGCTTCAGCAAATCCACTACCACCGAAATCCCATTGCTTCAGATACTCCACTGGTAGTCTTCCCTCGCATAAAAAAAGAAACAAAAAACCAAGCAGGCAATTGCAGTGGGGTTGGGTGCAGACTCACGCGTGGTTACCTAACAGGATATGACGAGAAGACAATATTTATTGATGTGGAAAGGGAAGCTAGACATACGGTGCAAGTGCATGGGGATGACCCAGTTGTGACAGTGACACAGTCCAAGGATCTAGACTTGATTGGCTGACTTCATATTTCCCGGTTGCAGTGGGACCGAAAAGTGCATCATCATAATAAGTAGCATCATTGGAAATAAAAAAAATAAAGGCAATGCTTCAACAGCCGACACGTCTCCCTACTAGTACGTGTAAAGTTTTAAGAAATCCAGATTGCATTACGCTATGATTTTTGGCTTTGCTTTGTTGCTGGGAAGAAGAAAAAAGTTCATCCCAGCGTGTCATTTCATTCCCCTCAGTGCTCACCGTCACTGCCCAATCACTTTCATTCAGCCCATGATTGGATATGCTATTTATTACTTTAACATCTTTCCTTCTTTCTTTTCTTTGAATGTATCGGTTGGGTATCTTACATGCACTTGACATGTTACCTCACCCCCCTAGTACACTGGTTGCCAAGTTGATGACTTTAGATTTGGTAGCATGAGTACAAATCTCTCCATTATCACATATACAAATCTTATATATTTTAATCATAATATCAAAATTCACAATTAAATTTATTTGAATATTTATTTTTTAGTAATTTTAATTGTTAACATGACTGAATAAATATATTTTTTTAGTAATTAAATCGTATATATGTTAACATGAATATGTTAATGTTTAAGTACACATAATATGTGACACATCAATAATTAAATAATTTTAAAAGAAAATCTTTTTGAATAGAACTGAAGAGTTAAGAACTAAAGTAATTCAAAAATAAAATAAAATTTAAAATAATTATTCGATTAAATATTAAAGACGAATTTTTAAATATTCAATCAAATGATTATACGATATATATATATACTAAAAATTATAACGTTTGGATAAGATTAAGAGAAAGAAACATGTACATGTGTCGAGGGAAGGAAGCCATGTGGAAATTGTCATTTCAATGAAGTTGTAATCTTATTGTATGATTCCATTTGTAAGAAAAGAGTGTGTGTGCAAAGGATACTGTTATCTTTAATGTATTAATTCTATTGGAAACTATACTTTAACTAAGCCCATGGTGTTAGTTTACCTAACACTATCCCTTAATCTCATCTTTGGTAGACATTAATTTCATTACTATCTTAATTTTCTTTTACAAAGTTTCATAACTTACGTGACATAAATTTAATTAAAAATATTATATAATTTACCCGTCCCGTGAGTAAAAGATAATTTATATTTAAAATATTGTTTTATAAAAATTGAATCAATTATAAAAGTTTTATATTCACATTTATTAGTTTTGTATCCAAATCTTAAATAATATAATATAATATAATAATAAAATTAGCTCCTAACATTTATATAAATAATTATTATTATTTTTAAGTATTTTAATCCGAACATGATAATATTTAATTAAAATAAAAACTGTTAATTAATTAATAATGTTATCAAAAGTGGACAAGTTTTGTGGCTGAAAACTAAATTTAACTAATCGTGAGTCCAGAGCGTGCTAAATTTAATTAATAATGTAAATGTAGATGTTGGGTTACGTGGCTTCCAACGAACATCTAGATTTGGAGAAGTTAATGAAACCGAGATGACATGTGAACGCATGCTAATTAGGCGATGCTGGGCCATTTAGCGGCCTAATTACCCAAAACATTTTAAGATTATATATAGAAATTAGCACCCAGAAATAATTGTTTATTAAAATTACATTTTTTTATTAATTCGGCGATAAAAATACGTCCAGTTAATTAAAATTAATATTATAACTATGGTGAGAATTTTGTTAATAATCAGTTGGTTTTGATTCATTCCGGTGAAATGTAATTTTTTCCTCACCGGAGCCTTACGTCTCCAGTTGAAAATTGGAGGTGCGGTGCATTTGAGGGAGTCGATTTTACCTCATTGGAGGTTACCCAAACAACATTTCGTGTGAACGAGAAAGAATAAAGGGGAATATGCTCTTAGAAAGCTGTGAATCGCAGCTCCAGTTAGCCAAAGCAAATTTCAACAAACTGAATTGATTGTTTTAATCCAATCGAATTATTTTGTTGTTTTTTAATTCTTGTTAATGTTAATGTGATAGTGATATATTCACGAAGGGAAGGACGTCACCTTCGTTGCAGGAAATTAAATATAAATTCAACCTGTTTTCCCTTAAAAAAAAGCACAGAAATGGTAACACGTGTTTTGTAAGAAAATAATATTAAGGGTAAAGTATAGTAATGGTCACTTAACTTTTCTAAATCATTCATTTAGGTCCCCAAACTTTTAAAACTTTCAATACAATCCCCCAACATTTAGTCCGTTTGCAATATGGTCCCCCAACAGTTACGTCAGGGACCATATTGCAAATAGACTAAATGTTGAGGGACCATATTACAAATGAACTAAATGTTGGAGGATTATATTGCAATTTTTAAAAGTTGGGGGATCGAAATGAAAGATTTAGAAAAGTTCAGTGACCGTTACTATACTTTACCCTAATATTAACTTGACCAGACATAAATCTAGGCTCAAATACTGTCTTTTGAATACTAGGCATACTTAAAACTATTAAGTAGGGCCTTAAATTTTGTTACTTTATTCAGACAGGTATGATATATATAAGGTGAGATTAGAATTTAGATACTAAAAAGTTTAAAATCGTTAACTTCTTAAAATATGTCAAAACTAGAGATAAAATTTTGTTGAATCACGTCCGATATTTTATCGATATGAATCCGGTATGAGTATTCTATCCCTCTACCTATCATCTAAACCTTATTCGATTTTAGAGATGTTTCGCACAACTCGAAATTTAGTCTGATTTTTAGGTAAAAATTTATGTTTGATCTGACCCGATCTAATATATAATTCTCATTTTATTAGATAATACAAAGATCTAATTGAAAAAACATAGAGTGATATTATTATAATTGTCCTTAAATATGAGAGGACTAATTATATGATTATCTTGAATTGAATTAGGTCGAGGATTTTTTATTCTTAACTCGAACTCAACCTTAATTTAAAAAAAAAACTCGACCTAAACTCATTTTTTTATATGTCCCTCCCTAATTAATACTTAAATATTTGTAATTAAATAGTTTTGTATGGTAAAGAGTTATATTCTAAAATTAAAAAGACTTGTAATTTATTATTGCAAATTTTTTTAGTGAATTAATACACTCGACTTAGCATGTAGATAGAGAAAGAAAGAGAGAGAAAATGTAGGAAGCAGTGAATAAAGAGGTGGTTTCGGGGGAAGGCAGGCTGAGTTAAAGCATAAGGGGGGCTGTGTACCCGGTAATGGTATTTTTCAGTTGGCACTAAGTCGATGTCAAAAAGCTCATACAATTACAGAATTAAAAGAAAGGATGCGGAAATAAAGCCTATCCACTCCCTTGACACCGCCTGCCCGCCTGCTTGCTTCAACTCTCTCTCTCTTTCTTCTCTTCTGCCGGTTACTCCCTCTTTCTCACTTCCATTCTCTCTCGCTCTCTCTCTCTCTCTCTCTGAAGCTCCTTTGTCTTTAGTCTTCTCTTTCTTTCCCTTCTTCCTCTTTCTGTATTGATTTTGTGTTTCTGCTATAATACAAGCTAGTGGGTTCAAGAAATTAGGTTCCCAGCTGAGAGGTTGATGGGTTCCGGAGAAACAAAAAGCTCAACAGGCTATGGCAGTCCACCCTGGATTTTCAAAGGCAGGTAAAGTGTTCAGTCCTTGTAAAAGAAAAGAAAAAAGAAAGCTTTCCACTCCTGTTATTTGGTTCTTGAATTGTGTGAATTCCATCTATCTCCAGTGCCTTGTATCAACTCCATCTTGTGAAAGCTGAAACCGCTAGAGCATTCATCCCAAAGGAGCTCCGCCTGGTTGAAGCTTTTGGGTACTCTTATTTTTACCTGGTAACTCTATGGGGGTTTATTGTGTTTTCTTTTCCCCACCAATTAATCACTCTATGGGGGTTTATTGTGTTTTCTTTTCCCCACCAATTAATCAACAGCATGCACAATGCAGATACACATTGGGTGGTTTTTTCCTTGCCAACTACGATCACAGCCCTGCCGGCGTCTTTGATGAGGTTTCATAGCACTCTCATTTTCAATCAGTTTCTCCTAATTTCATAAGTTCATTGCTCTGTGCCTAGGAACTTGGTTGTTTGCTTGTAGTATTAGAGAGAATATTATCCAGTACAAAGCAGGAAGTAACTGTGATTACATGTCAACTGTTTCTTTGCCAGCTTGTGGTGATAGCGGGGATCGTGTGGAATCCGCCAACGTCTTGCGCGTACGTTTTCTTCCCTCTTTCATTTGGATTGATTAAAAAGCGTTGTTCATTATGTATCATGTATGGAGAAAATGCATCATCGAGTGAATTCCATGGCCCTACTCTGAGTGTTCATGTACCAGTTTGGTTAAGGTTTGAACTGAGCTAAACGAAACCGATTGGATACAAAAATTAGGTGGTGTCCCACCACTCATTTGTGTTTAACTTTATCACATAATCAGGTTGGCCAGTCAACTTTTATAACTTGAATGTCTTGCTACTGTTTATTTAATTATGCAGCCATTTCATTTGATCATGCTGAAAAAGGGAATCATTCAGTGTTATTAGTCACATTTGCTATAAGCTTCCTCAAGTGGCATTAGCAAGTTGCCATTTTTTAGAAGGAAGTCTGTCGGATTCATGCATTTCCTCATTTCCTCTCATTATTTCATGCATGCCTTGTCTTATGTGTATCCTTCTTCTATTTCCTTTCTGTATTTGAACTAATTGCATCTTCTTCTTGTTTCTTTTCTTTATTCAAATTTGAGCAGATGGGCAGCCAGGGTTCTTGTGAACAGTGAAGAAGCTTGTCACCATGGACGGAAGGTAAGGCATTGAAATTTTAGAGTAAGATGGTCTTATTAGCAACTTAAAGGAGAGACCGGGCCAAATTTACCTGACTATAACTTAATTCTATCTCTACACCACAAAAATACAAGTTGATCATCACTCCCGCATCTCCACTGGTTCGACATATGACTGTTGCACAGGGATGCAGAGCTCCTGCTACACCCTGTGAACAAGATGCATTTTTAAAGTAACTGATGCCCTAATTCCTTTACTTCTACTAATTGAAGTTTGAACTTGCATCGGTGTTTTTTGTTACTATTTTTCGTTGTGGCAGGATGTAGGGCTTCCAAGTCAGGTAGCCAGATTTTCAAAGGTACTCCTCGTTCTACTCATTGATGGTATCTCTGGCACGATTCTCTTGTCAATAAGATTGGTCTAAATATGTATAGCGCCATACAGGTTTTGTGAGAGTACATGTATCAACTTCATTGCCAATATACTAATTAGAATCAAGGATGCTTATAAAAATTCATTTTACTCTGCAGTTGTGCCCTTTTTTACATGTTGCTAGGGCACAGGCAACACAACGCATGCGAAAAGAAAGACCTTTTCATGTTTATTTTCGGTTTATGATTCATGTTTGATGCGTTCTTTGTTTGAAACAGAGAATTACACCAGTTCCTAGACAAACAAAGGACAGAATTGGTGGCTTTCTAAACATGATTGGTGTGAGCACTACAAGCTGCCACTCCAAAGACTGTATGGATGTTCAGGTGACGGAAGTTTTGGGTCCCACTCCATTGGATATCTGTAATATCAAACTTATAACCGATGGTGAGTTCATACTCGATCGTCCTGATGTGAATCATGTGATGAACTTTCATACCTCTTCATGGTATGTTGTACAATGTTTCATCTGAAAAAAAAAGCTTTAGGCAATATTATGTTGTTGAGTTTTCCTTCAAGGTTAAGCTGTGTTCTGCTTGATGTAATGGCCATCCTAGTTCCTTGGCATTACCCATTATCCCAAGTGAAGCATCGCGTGCGTGAATTAAATCGCTGCAAATTATGCTTAAATACACCTGATGGTCATGATCATGATATCTTGCCTTCGCTTCTGGCATTAATATATGTTATAGATCTTATGTACTTTTCTGGTAAAATCTTGGTGATAGCAGTGCCTAGTCCGAAACTCAACAAATGGATGGGTCCATCGATCAGAATGTCACTTCCAAGCTTTAGGTAATTTTCTACATGATCTATATTTCACTAAATGAAGTAGATGTCAACTTTTTTGTTGTGAAATTACAGTGGCCAAACAGAGTATAACCCCAACCTTTTGAAGTATGCATGCCGTCTTGCCTGCAGGTATGATTATATTCGCTGCAGTAATTAACTTTGCATTATGGACATCAGTGCTCAAATGTTCGTCAAATCTTAACCGTGTTGCTATGAAGTAATTTTGTGAATATTCGACATGATAGAGTACGAGCGGTGCGGCCAGCAAAAATATCGGGGCCATCACCATTAAAGAATGAAAGAAATAGTGATTCAGAAAGGAGAGAGTTTACAGCCGAGGAAGCGGCAGATAATGGAAGAAACCTCAGCATATCGGTTATGTTATCAAAGCCTATACTAGCTTTGGAGTTCAATTGCTTGGAAATGCAAGTTGAAGCTCCCATCATACCATCCAACAACTCTACAAGCTCTTTACCAGGTGCTTGATCCCCCCCACACACACACAACAAAATTGTACTATTTTCCTCCTTTTTCTTGTTTCTTGTTGTTACATCAACATAATAAGATTCTACACTCCAGTCAGATTCCATTGAGGCATAACCCAGGGTTTATATATATATATATTCAGTGAGTGATAAGAAATCAAGGAACAAACAAACAAATGCAATTTTCAGACCTTCAGCAATCAAACTTACAATCTCCATCTGTTGAGCAGATCAGAATGCTTCCGGTAATGGCCGGCCATCCAAAAATGCCTTGAACAGAACCAATGATCTCTTGGGCTGTGAGAATGGGGCTTCATGAGATGCTCCTCTAATTGTGGCAAAAGATAGGATATTACCATAAACTTGAGTCCACCCACCAACCTTCAAGGAACAACCAGAAATTTAAAAATATTATTGTATTAGCAGCATAATACTACCATTAAGTTCAGAACTCAGTAATTTTCATCAAACTTTACCTGCTGTCCCTCGAACCAAACTCGGTAAGGCACAGTTGTCTTCAAGCCTAATTCCTTGGCCAGTTGATTAACTAATGTTCGACTCCCGGTCAATGGGACAACAGAATCTTGATCTCCACTGTATTTAAATACGTCTCTTGTGAGTACTATTTTCGGAGAAACATGAAGGAAAGCTTTCACAGAGGACGATTTACCTGTACACCATGACTGGGATTCCAGCCTTCACGAGTCTGCCCACAATAGTGATTGTCGGTATCTCGATATCGAGCAGTTCATAGTCTAGGACACTTGATGGGCAAATTACAAGGAAGATATATGAACCCACAATCTCAAATCCAAATAAACAAGGTAAATCATTGAATATGAGTTCTGCAGAAGAGAATTACTTGCTGCAAACGGCCCATTTACGGACTCCGACAAGACGAGCATGGAGAGCTTTCTGCACATCTTACCTGTTTAAGTAATTTACAGTTTCATCTTCTACACAAACATCTATTGTCTCACCAACTTGCTGTTTGGACAAAGAAACCAAGTTAGAAACAAGTAGCAAAGACTAGAACTAGATCGTTAGACATTTCGAGTTTACGAAACTATACAATCGAACTCACTTGGGGAGTAAGGATGTTGGACTGCGAGAGAACTGATGATATACAGACATCAAGTGTAACATCATACTTGTCGACGAATCTACTGGTTTCGCTACTTACTTGACTCATCACCCTCGAACAATTGGGAGAAACGTTCCCTCGATAATACTCGCCGACATATCTTGAGTAATTACAAGAAGTGGTGAACAGTTTGTATGTCGAATCTGATATTAGTCCACGAGACCAGAAGAATTCAGCCCTCGAATTAAAATCAGTAGCAAATTCTAAAACAGGATTACCAAGCTGCAATCAAGTGGAGCAAACAGGAATAGATATTACATAGCAAATTCAAATAAAAAAACACCAAAACACGTACCGAAATTTCTTTGCAGAACTACTTACAGCTATTCCTTTCAAATTGAACTGTTTTTCCTTCTTATTAAACTGAGTCATAAGTTCAGCCAGCTGAGGTATATAATGACCTGGGTTTAGACATGACAATAAGAAAAAACAAACTCAGTGATGAGTCACATTTCACAGTGAAAGAAACAGTAATAATGTTTTTGTTTTATAGTGTTGCAAAATAATACCAGCATAGCTTTCCCCTGTAATGAAGAGGCTTCTATTTCTGTAGTGGGGGAATTTGAGGAACCAGTTCTGCAAAAATACCAGATTGTCCCTAGCTACAATAACAAAGAGAGACAAAGTTAGAAAGATTGAACTTTTTTCAACAAGAAGAGAAAGAAGAAGAAGAAGAAGAAGCAAAACGAGAATAGTGAGCAATGAACATTGCATTACTAAACATTAAGAAAATGGGGTTTAGATTGGAGAATTTTACCAGTGATTTTGTCATTAACAGCCTCATAAGAGGAGTCGTCTACAGAATAAGAGAAACCAACTCCAATTGGGGCCTCCAAATACAACATATTGGCCTCTGCAAAAACAATGGGTTTGTTAAGCAATCAACTTGTGGAGGTGCTTATAAAAAGACCATGATTTACAACAAGAACATCCAACAATAAATAGATTAAGTGTATACCTTCATTCCAGCTATATTCGTTCTTGACCAGCACTTCCCTACTAGGCCTAAACGGTCCATTCTCAGAAAAGGCTCCAACTCCCAGTGAAGAGCAGCCAGGCCCTGTAATTTTTTACAAGAAGGAAACTTGTAAAAACGTAAAAGATGCATTATTTTTTGTAGCCTGAGAATGAGATATTGAAAAACCTCCATTGAGCCAGAGGACAAGAGGCTTGGAAGCTGAATCTACTTCAGCTTCTGCAAAATAGTAAAACAAAGCTCTCTGTTTCTTCCCAACAACGGTCACATAGCCCGAGTATTGTTGGAACCCGACTTCGGGTTGACCCGGTAGTCTAGATATCCGATCAAACAGACCTGGAAAACACTCGACTTTGACAGAAAACAAAACCTCAAGTAGAATTAGTCCCAATGCCACTGATCTCCAGCCTAAACAACCCATGGTGTCTTCTTCTCGGATAAGACTAAAGAGAAAAATAAAAAGATTGACCAAAAAGGAAAACTCAGAGTGAGAAAGGGAGAGAAGAAGAAGAAGAAGAAAAGCAAGTTAAACAAAAATGTCTGCCTAGTGGAGTTGGATTTTATAAAGAAAGTTCCTGTTGTTTTGTTACCACTCTATTACATTTATTTATATAATAATGATAAATATAAAAAGAAGTGTAGTAGTGTGCAGGAGCTGAAACAGATGCCTGTTGGGTACATTTTTGGTTCACTTTCTCTTAACTTGGAGATGGCTGGTTGGAGTCAAGGGATGGTGAGCAGAACTACAGTAGTGCGTCACAGGCTACTAGGAAAAAGAAGGGATTATCAACATACGAACCGTTGAGATTATTTTATAACTTTTTAATAATTTGATAACTCAAAAAAAAATCTCATTTATAAACTTGACCCTTTATTTTGAGAATAAAGGAGTTTATTACTGTAAATCTGATGGTCTGCCTCTGCCCTCGTTTAACGCAAGAGAAATGTATGAACTGGTAGAAGAAAATTAGGCTGAGATTGTATTCAACCAGAAATGTTAAAAGAAATTTAATATTTTGATTGTATATTTTATTAATTTTAAATTAAACCGTCGTTTATTAGACATTTGTGATAGAATAAAATCTGAAAATGAAGTCCAAAATTTACTCCGTCTGTCGTGGAAACTAAACACTTTATGTTTTGGTTGAATGGAAAAGTAAACCTATACTCAACTGCTGAAAACCAAATCATAATCTTCATCGGGGAGGCCGAATCTTATCCATGTATTGTGCTCCTATTACTTTGCGTTGAATTACCTTATAGCTCTACTCGTTCTACTGCAGTCTTTCCATTGGTCTCACCTCTCCTTTCCCTTCTATGTCTAAACGAAAACTTTAACCCGGCCACCATTGCCACAGCTCCGATGAAATTCAACTCAAAAGCATGGGTCACTGACCTAAAGTTAAAGCACAGAGCACACCAAGTTTGGGAAAATGTGCAGGGAAGAAATGGAGCATAAAGCTCACGCCTTTCTGGGTGGTGGTGGACTCCGCCTTCAACTGGAAGCAAAGCTTTGTCTCGATCATTTTGGTTTCTTCCCTTAATTTTTTTAGAGTTTTTATCCCCTCTTTTCTCCTCCAATTCAATACCGTATGTTACATACAGAGAAATTGACCCCACAAGACAAATATATGTTTTACAATATTCCTTGAATCATAGTTTTGATTATTCTGCCCCCCCAAATTCCTTTTGCTATTCGATCTGTTGTAATCACTTGATGGTGTACCTTTAAAAAAGGGCTTTTTCAGATGAAGATAACACATACAATCACTTGATCTGATCTACCATTCAAAAGGCGATTCTCCCAACCGTCAAGCTTAGCTATATTTATGGATGCAAAAGATGAAATTGGTTATTTGCAGCAGAATGCAAATGTCAGACAAGAATACAACTTCATCTCCTCTGCCTTCCACTATGCTCCAAAACTTGGACAAGATATTTACATACGAAACAGTTGCAGCCGGTTTTGTTAAAGACAGACTCTATCCCCAACCTTGTTTCAAATAACAGACAAGAAAGATTAATTTAAGTAAAAAAACAAGTTATAAATACGAGTGTTGGACTGATTGGTCATTGGGTTTAACATTCTAAAGCAAAGCAAAAGGCCCCAACACAAGGGGGGGGGGGGGGGAAGTGAAAAACTGTTTGATATGAGGGCATGGGAATAGGTCAAAAAAGAATTCCACCTTTAAAAAGTGAAACTTGTAGGTGTCTTTATCTTCTTTCCTCATGCGCACCATTTTTACAAAAAATAAAGCAACCTTTTTCTCGGACTCACTAATAAATTATAGTGCACATGACCATCAGGGCAAGCCGGGCTAACGGTGGGGCACCCATATCGACTCATATCCATCGGAGATGAACTCAAATATCATTAAGTTTGATTCAAATTTAAAAAAAATTAAAATTAAATTTGATCCAGTTAAAAAATCCGGGAGTTTAAAATAATTAAGTTTGTTTTGAATTCAAAATAAAAAAAGAAATTTGATTTGAACTTGAAAATACTTAAATTAAAAAATAATAATTAAAAATAACATTTTTGCTAGAGTTTTATCTCCCTTGTTGTTCTATACAATTTGATAAAATTATTTTTTTAAGATAAAATGTATTCATTCAAATACCAATAGCATGAAGAAATACATCGTTTTTAATACATTCAGGTTCTTCATAAAAGATCCAAAGAAAAATGGTCATTGACAAAGCCTAATGCACTATAGAGTGCGCACTCTATTAATCTCTCGATGCGTATATTACATTTAGAAATCGAGATGGTTAACAAGTGTTATACATGCCTCGTTGAACAATAATCCAATGACTGAGATGTCTTCTCTTCAGTTAATCAAACGATTAACAATAAAAATTATGTCTCCTTCAATTATAACATTCTTCCCATCATTCTCGATTGCCATTCTTAAACCATGAACAAAAGCAATTACTTAAGTTGATTCAGGGGTTTGAGAGGACTCAAGCTTCATTCGACAAAATTGCTTGGATTAAGGTGGAAATGCCACCATATATGATATAATGATGAAATGTTAAAAGTTTCAAAGTTTGGCAACCAACTTTGGAAAATGTTTTTTTCAAAGTTTGGTAAATGTTTCTTTGAAAAATGTTTTTCAAAGTTTGGTAAAATTTTGGTAGATGTTTGTTGAAAATAGGAATGGGTAAATTCACTTTAGTCATTGCACTTTAGGGTATTTTCAAAGATTAGTCCCTAAGTTTCTACTATAAATACCCTTACCCATTTAGCTTCAAAATCATCCCAAAACATTTCTTTCTTCCTATACTAGAGAGCTTTCTTGTGAGTAGTGAGTGTTTTGTAAACACCTGTAAATTTTCTCTCTTAGTAAAAGATCTGCAGCAGCCCGGAGACGTAAGCACAATTGGCTGAACTCCGTTATCAATTTTCGGGTATTATTTTTCCTCTTTTATTTCGCATTCTCACTAATCTGGTTATAGGGAAATTATTTGTACTCGGTTTATTTTCCTAACAACTGGTAATCAGAGCTTTTGGTTGTGAATTTTGTCAATTTTTCTGCGAGGTTACTATTCATTACTATTTACGTGAATAGTGAAATTTCGGTCGGCGATACGAGTTTGTCGACAGTGGTGTTCTAATACACGGTGGTTCGCAAGAATTGTCAGAAACGATCCAAAAGAAGCCAGATTCGAGTGGAAGCGATGGCTGCAGACGAAGGGAAGGTGAAAATTGAAAAGTTCGATGGTGCGGACTTTGGCTTTTGGAAGATGCAGATTGAAGATTTTCTGTACCAGAAAAATCTTTATCAACCTCTCTCAGGAAAGCAACCAGAGTGCATGAAGAATGAAGACTGGGCTCTTCTCGACCGACAAGCCCTCGGAGTTATCCGACTGACGTTATCCCGCAATGTTGCTTTCAACATAGCAAAGGAAAAGACCACGGCGGGTCTTATGGCGGCTCTCTCCAGTATGTATGAGAAGCCATCGGCCTCAAACAAAGTTCATTTGATGAGGCGATTATTCAATTTGCGGATGGCGGATGGGGCATCGATGGCACAACACCTAAATGAACTCAACACAATCACAACTCAGTTGAGTTCAGTGGAAATTGAGTTCGATGATGAAGTTCGAGCTTTAATTCTCTTATCATCTCTACCAGACAGTTGGAATGCTACTACAGCAGTCAGCAGTTCGTCGGGAAACAGCAAATTAAAATTCGACGATGTTCGGGATCTGGTATTGAGTGAAGAAATTCGACGAAGAGAATCGGGTGAAGCATCAACCTCCTCAGCCTTGCACACCGAGTCTAGAGGGAGAACTTCAGAAAGAAATTCAAATCGTGGCAGATCAAAATCCAGAAGGGGCAAATCAAGAACAGGAAATAAAGATTTACCTGTTATAATTGCGGTAAGAAGGGTCACTTCAAAAGAGATTGCCGAGCACCGAAGAAAAATACCGGCGCACAGGAATCTGCCAACGTGACAGGAGACAGGTGATGCCATGATTCTAAGCGTCAACAGTCCGATTGAATCATGGATCTTGGATTCAGGGGCATCTTTCCACTCCACCCCATACCAAGAAATCATGGAGAACTATGTCAGTGGTGATTTTGGGAAGGTTCATCTTGCTGATGATGAAACCTTAAAGATCGTCGGAAAAGGAGACATCCGACTAAAGTTGCCAAACCAGACCACCTGGAAGCTGACAGGAGTGAGACATATTCCTGGCCTCAAAAGAAATCTGATTTCTGTTGGACAGCTTGATGGAGAAGGATATAGCACAACCTTTTCAGGCTGTGAATGGAAGATTACCAAAGGAGCACTCGTCATTGCTCGTGGTAAGAAGACTGGTACTCTCTATGTAACCTCAAATTTAGAGAATATCATTGCAGTAGCAGATGCTGATGGAAAATCAAACCTATGGCACCAAAGGCTTGGCCATATGAGCGAGAAGGATGAAGACACTTTTGTCAAAAGGCAAGCTGCCGGATCTAAAGAATGTAGATGTCGGACTATGCGAGGATTGCATCTTTGGCAAACAAAAGAAAGTTTTGCAAAGATTGGCAAGACACCCAAGGCAGAAAGGTTAGAATTGATTCATACTGATGTATGGGGACCATCCCCAGTTCCATCTCTTGCAGGCTCACTATATTATGTCACCTTCATCGATGATTCAACAAGGAAGGTGTGGGTTTATTTTCTGAAGAAGAAATCAGAAGTCTTTGATACCTTCAGAAAATGGAAGGCCATGGTGGAAAATGAGACTGGTTTGAAAGTCAAGCGGTTGAGGTCTGACAATGGAGGAGAATACAGAGACAGTAGATTCAGAGATTTCTGCGCAAACAATGGGATCAAGATGGAGACAACAGTTCCCATAACACCGCAGCAGAATGGCGTAGCAGAGCGCATGAACAGAACTCTGAATGAACGTGCCAGAAGTATGAGGATACATGCCGGATTGCCCAAATTTCTATGGGCTGAAGCTATCAACACTGCAGCTTACTTGATCAACCGTGGGCCCTCAGTTCCTTTGGATGGCGGAATACCAGAGGAAGCTTGGAGCAAGAAAGAAAAAACCTTTCACACTTAAGAGTGTTTGGTTGTATTTCTTATGTACACATAAACTCTACTGAAAGAAGTAAACTTGATGCCAAGTCCAACAAATGCGTCTTTGTTGGTTACGGTGGTGATGAGTTCGGTTACCGGTTTTGGGACTACGAAAATCGAAAGATCATCAGAAGCAGAGACGTCATTTTCAATGAAAATGTGATGTACAAAGATAGGTCAACCGCAGAATCAAGTAATACCGAAGCTGAAACAAAGGAATTTGCTGAGTTCGAGGATATTTCTGAAAATGATGTTCAGATTAATCCTGAAGCAGTTCAAGAAGAACCACACACACCAGAACTGAGACGCTCCTCCAGAATTCCTAAACCAACCCAACGGTATTCGCCTTCTTTGCACTATTTGTTGCTGACTGACAATGGTGAACCAGAGCTATGATGAAGCAATGCAGGTGGAGGATTCAGTCAAGTGGGAGTCTTCCATGAAAGATGAGATGGACTCGCTTATGTCAAATCAGACTTGGGAATTAGCTGAATTACCACCAGGCAAGAAAGCGCTCCATAACAAGTGGATTTACAGGATCAAAGAAGAACATGATGGGAGAAAACGCTACAAAGCAAGATTGGTTGTCAAAGGTTTTCAGCAAAACAATCAGACTGGTGTTGAAAATTGTAGCTGCGGAGAATTTACATCTCGAGCAGTTAGATGTAAAGACAGCTTTCCTTCATGGTGATTTGGAGGAAGAGATCTATATGAGGCAGCCAGAAGGCTTCATAGAGGAGGCAAGAAAAACCTGGTATGCAGGTTGAAGAAGAGCTGTATGGTTTAAAACAAGCTCCTAGACAGTGGTACAAGAAGTTCGATAGTTCATGAGTAGCAGTGGTTTTACCAGATGCCAAGCAGATCATTGTTGCTACATCAAGAGGTTCGACAATAGTTTCATTATTTTATTGTTGTACGTTGATGACATGCTCGTTGCAGGCTCAAACATGCAAGAGATCATAAACTTGAAGCAAAAATTGTCGAAGCAGTTTGCTATGAAGGATCTGGGCGCTGCAAAGCAGATTCTTGGGATGAGGATCAAGAGAGACACAAAGTCGGGGACTTTGATGTTATCGCAGGCTGAGTACATCAACAAAGTACTCTCCAGGTTCAACATGCAAGATGCTAAACCAGTAAGTACAACCTTTAGTGTTCATTTCAGACTCTCCAAGACCAATCACCAAAGACGGAGGAAGAACGTGCACACATGGTGAAGGTGCCGTATGCCTCAGCAATTGGAAGTCTGATGTATGCCATGGTTTGTACCAGACCAGATATTGCTCATGCAGTGGGAGCTGTTAGCAGGGAATGAATAATCCGGGCAAGGTACACTGGGAAGCAGTCAAATGGGTCCTCAGATATCTTCGGGGTACCACAAACAAAGCACTTTGTTTCAAAGGTGGAGATGATACTGACAGGCTATGTAGATGCTGACTTAGCCGGAAATGTCGACATCAGAGGAGCACTACAGGGTATGTCTATACTCTAGGAGGAACTGCAGTGAGTTGGGTTTCTCACTACAGAAGATAGTTGCTCTCTCCACAACTGAAGCAGAATATGTCGCTGTTACGGAAGCCAGCAAGGAGATGGTTTGGCTCCAAAGTTTCTTGGAAGAGTTAGGCAAGAACAAGAAAACAATATCTTGTATTGCGACAGTCAAAGTGCTATCCATCTAGCAAAGAATCCGTCTTTTCATTCCAGGACAAAACACATACAATTGAGATATCATTTTATCCGGTCTCTTCTGGAAGATGGGATTTTGAAACTTGAAAAGATTAGTGGAGCTCAAAATCCGGCAGACATGTTGACAAAGACGGTGACTACGGATAAACTGAAGTTGTGTTCAACTTCAGTTGGCATGCTAGAATAACAAGACCAGACATGCTGCTGCATTGATCGAGTGTGAAGACATATTAAAATCAGTCTTCAAGTGGGAGATTGTTAAAAGTTTCAAAGTTTGGCAACCAACTTTGGAAAATGTTTTTTTCAAAGTTTGGTAAATGTTTCTTTGAAAATGTTTTCAAAGTTTGGTAAAATTTTGGTAGATGTTTGTTGAAAATAGGGAATGGGTAAATTCACTTTAGTCATTGCACTTTAGGGTATTTTCAAAGATTAGTCCCTAAGTTTCTACTATAAATACCCTTACCCATTTAGCTTCAAAATCATCCCAAAACATTTCTTTCTTCCTATACTAGAGAGCTTTCTTGTGAGTAGTGAGTGTTTTGTAAACACCTGTAAATTTTCTCTCTTAGTAAAAGATCTGCAGCAGCCCGGAGACGTAAGCACAATTGGCTGTTGTGAGTAGTGAGTGTTTTGTAAACACCTGTAAATTTCTCTCTTAGTAAAAGATCTGCAGCACCCGGAGACGTAAGCACAATTGGCTGAACTCCGTATCAATTTTCGGGTATTATTTTTCCTCTTTTATTTCGCATTCTCACTAATCTGGTTATAGGGAAATTATTTGTACTCGGTTTATTTTCCTAACATGAAACGCAAGCCCAACAAAACTCCAAGCCATCAAATAATTGGGCTTGTGCTACGGTCCAACGGAAATTATGCAAATTATATATCTACATTATTTTCTATATCATATAGAGACCATAATAGGTTGAATATTTATATATTTTAATGTTTAAATTTATTTATTAAATTTAAATATTAAAATTTTAAATAAATAATTATTCATTATGATATTCCGATAAATTCAAATTTCAACCTTCCTAATTATTTGTATTTCATTTCATAAACCTTCCCAGGAATATCCTCTTTAATCTTGATACTTGAGACTGAGTTCTTCTTGTTAACTTCATGTTTTCCATTCATGGCCTTCTTCTCATCCACCATGTTCATCTTGGAACAGAGATCTCGAATCGTTTCTCTCTTCGTCATTTCTCCTTATCAACTCAGCCTGGTGACTCAAGTTATCCTCCACCTGTTCCGATACCTTGAACCTTAGTTCATTCCACAGCTTCTCATGTTCTAACATGGCAGCTTGATAACCATCACTCGTATTGCGCCGTAAACATATGCCATTGATCATAATATTCCTCTTGTCTAGGTAGCTTTTGTCGTCTGGCTTCATCTTTGAGTTCTTGACACAGTCATGACTATCAGCTTGCGTAGGACTAAAGGAAAAAAAATTGAGCTTGTGTCTTCTTGAAGCAAAATGCAACACTTAGCATACGCATATAGCTGAAAGGACACAACTTGGGCAACATGCATGGGGCCTAAACTATCAATATTGCTTTGTTTCATAAATTAAGGAACTCCATAAATCCTCACACATCTTTCCTTTGTGGAAGGATTGAATTGGATAGCTAATTATCTATTAAGTATGTGTTTAAACTAGAGTTGGGCTTGCTCAATCATTTGGACCTAAATATGGTATGTAGCACATCAGTACTATTCTTGTAATCGAAATATAAAATTACTTTATTACAAGTCTATTTGTTTAGCTTCTGTGTTGTAAATAGTGTTCTTTACTTTGTTCTTCTGGATTTTATATATCCAAGTCTTTGGTAGCAACAAGTCAGCCTCATCTGATATAGGATGAGAGTTTTAAGTGTGAAAAATGATATTTTCTTAAGAAATTTAATAAGCCTTTTTCATATTACGACTGATGTACAATATATCCATACTCTTTCCCATTACGTTTTACCTAATCCTGATTGGAGATGAACATATAAATTAAGACACGAGTTTGGAGGTGTGAATGGAAAAGATGGGGAAATGGATTAATTAGTCAATTAATCAATGATGTTTGTACAAGTTGACATATACTGATAATAATTGAAAATATGAAAGCCAGCATAGCTCAGGGAAAAAAATACAATTTGCTTACGTTACTCGCCCTTTAAAGAAAAACACCATTGCAGGGCAGCTCTCAATCTATTTTCTCCATCAATTAGAGATTTTTTTTTAAAAAGGAAAAAAAATAAAGGGTTTCCACAACTTAAATAAGAACGATACATCACATCAGAGTAGGAGATAAAAGGTGAAAGATTCAATTAGGGTTCCTGCCATAGTGCAAAACCATGAGATGATCAGCTGTTGAGGTATGTGGAAGCAAAGTCACTGCGTCCCTTGAACTCCATATTTCATCTCTTACTTGCTGCAACGTCAAGAATGGCTGAAGCTGTTGCCCTCTGCATCTTATCTCCACCTGCTTTTTATCATCAACCCTAATCGTTACGATTAATCTACTAAGATTTTAAATGATCAAATTAAAAAATATATATAAACTAAGATTTAACTACTATAATTTGGATTAGAGAATTTGACCAAATAAAAAACATAAAAACTATTGTTAGCCATATTATATCAATACATACATAGGCAAGGAAACGAAAGAAAGCTTTTCATAATTGTTTGTACAAGTGGTTCAAACCATTAGGGACTAAATTAAATTTGGTTTATCTGTTGACAAAGTGACACGAATTGTATATGTTTTTCACTTGAAACCGACGGAAAGGTATGAACATGTGTGGGGGAGAGCATGCAATTTCATTTGTTTTTTAGTATTTTATTATTGCTTGTTTGGTTTAGTGATTTACATGTAGTGGTGAAGTCATGCTTTGTCAGCGGCATACGTCTTATCCATGCTATGTGATATGCCCCCATCTCTTTCAAACTTATACTTTACCCATAAAATTTCTCTCTCAAAACTTTCCATACTCATCCCTATAAACACCAAAAGGAAAAAGAAAAGAATTGAAATTACAATTCAGGTCAGCGGTCAGGCATGGAAATCGACAGTCTAAAGACTGCCCGTTATTTCCACCATCTTAAGCTGCCCGAAATAATCATTAGGGCACCCACCTTGACTTTACTCCAAAGACAAAATCATTTATTTCTTATATTTTTATTAAAGAATTCATTGAAATAATTAATTTAATTAATTAAATATTAAAAAAATAGTAACTATATCATTTGACCTATTATACCATCTAAAATAATATAATAATATAAATATGATAATACTGAAGGTAAAACCATCGTAAAATAAAAAAAAATCAATATTTAATGTATAAAATTTATTGTGAAAAAATCATGGACAGAAAAAAAAAAGAAAATTTACCATGCCAAAAAATGCAAGAAGATTTGCATCTAAACGTAATTTAAGATTTAATCAACTTACTTCTAAACTATAATATCTAGTATTTTTTAGGGATAAATTTCTTATTTATAAATGAAAGTTGCATAGAAAGAAATATACTCAAATTGAGTTTCTTACTCTTCATCTACCCTCTACTACATATCCCCATTTTAAATGAGTTTCTTCCTGACTTATATCTTTAAAAAATAATATTCGATGCATTAACAATATATAATTATGTATGTGATTAAATGATAAATTGTCATCATAAAATTTTAAAATATCTTATTTAAATTTATTCTTAATCATATATCATCAATTTTTATTCATTATACATAAATTTATATAATATTGATACACCAAACATTCACCCTTAAAAAACATTATGAACAAAAACTATATATTTTACACTTAGAAACTACGAAACCCTAATTCAAACATGTGTCATATACACTAATCACGTCTCATGTCCACGTTGCATTCCTTCCTCCTAGTTCAAAATAAAAAACCCTAATATCTAGAGTAAAAGGTCAATGTTCATTTCAAATTCCGTGTTGCTTTTTTTTATTGGTTTAGTTAATTTCTTAAATTTATAAAAGTAAACCCAGATAGCTAATGTGGGATAAAGAAACGGATTAGTAAGATTAAGAGTGGATGCCGATAAAAGACAAAGGGCACAAAAAATTCCCCTGATGTTAATATTAATATTCCATGCTGCATGCGTTGAGTTCACCAACAATAAACAATTAATTTTCATGCTTCATTTGTCTTTTTATGATTTTATTTATTTATTTTGTTCTTTTTCAACAACTAGGAATGATTCTGTTGCGGAATTATCCCTCATGCATTGCGTTCCCCCGACGTAAAATACGTGGGGATATATATTTTTCTCTTTTTAAATGTATTTTTGTGGTTGGTTGTGGTGTGATGATCGAGTGTTTAAATATTCCACCCAAGTGGTGCACTTATAAGATTTTATTTTATTTTTATTTTTATTTTTTGATGGCCCCTACAATGAGCTGTATGGAAGCTGATATTATAGAAGCGGAAGCGTGACGAAAGGAGGCAATAGTGCGGGCAGATGGGGAAGGGTTTTGAGAACGATAGGGTCCACGTGTGATTTCCTTGGCCCTACGATATAATTTTATTACACGTTTTACTATCATTTTTTTTATTTGAGTGTCAACGAAGGAGGAGATGATAAACCCCAAGATTAAGGCGTTTTCATTTGCTAAAGTCAATGCATTATTGCACTTTTAAAAAATTACCAAAACAAAACGAGAAATCAACGAAACCTTTTTTCCCACCATGTCCAAGAGAGCCTATCTCTTTGGCCATTCCTTGCATTTATGATTATTGCCCTAGATAGAGTGTGTAAGGAACAATATTGGGCTATTCTTGTCTATATTATGCGTAATGATTATCAAGGTGTAAAAGGGTAATAATTCTCTGCCTAGGGTTTACTACTATGCACAAAAATCATTAACGCAAAGAGCTAATGATACCATTTTTTTTTACTATATGCACAAAATCATTAACGCAAAGAGCTAATGATACCATTTTTAGAGAGAAAACAATCCAACATCTATTCTCCAAATCACTTATAACACTAATCATTTGAATATTTGTGTTGCATGCCATGTGAGATAGGATAAAATTTTTATCCCTAAAACAATTCTAACCTAAGGAGAGAACCCTAACTTAAGGAGATATTTCTTATCCCTAAACCCTAAACCCTAACCTAAGATAAAATAACTTTATGGTCAAAAGAAGCGTATGGGAAGGGATTGTTTTTGAATAGTAAAATAGAGAAAGATATTATATTTCTTAAGCAATATTAGGAGTTCGAACTTTGAATTTTATTGTAGTGAACGAAACTAGCTAAGTTGGAAGAATCACCCTTATAATGAGCCTCTACAATAATTGATTTGAATTAATCAATCTATAGATTAAATACTCGTGGTAATATACAAAGACACTTGATTATATACCATATATAGATATGACAAAAGAGATGCCATATCATCTGGCGGTTGCGAAGGATATTTCCAAATCAATGGCATCTGTTGTCTGTTGACCTAAACAACTACATGGGAAGTTAATTATTATTATGTAATTATTAGAATATAAAGGCGAGCATGACACACATCTGTGAACACATATATATTATGATGTTTTGAGATTAGTTGCATTTTTTTTAAAGGCGGAGACTATAAACCAGCAATAGCTGTAACACGGGGTTTGATTGATTGTTATTATTATATGAAAACTAGAAACTATCCTAATCTCATCTGGATTACTTCTTTGCGTGAAGTGGAAGGAAATAAACAAAAGTATTTATATATGCATCAGTTCCATGTCACAAGAGTTGACCTATATATACATAAGACTGCACAATATATTATTGATACTGGTTCAACAAAGCAGAATGCCAAATTAATGTTATTACTCAATTATTCACTTATATAGAGTGTGTAATGTTACCCTAGCTTGCTAATTACGTTCATACTCAAGATTTCTGTCTTTTTCTTTGTCCCAGGTGATTCTCCCATTTTCATTTTCGTGGAAATTGAAAAAGAATAATGATAATATTAATGTATAAAATTTTAATCTTAATCATCTGTTTTAAATTAATCTGATGATTATATTTTAGAGTAAAATTAATAAAGTTTACATGGTATATTTATTAATAAAATATAAATTTTAAATATTTTTATCTTATCGGCTACTGCGTACGCTAGTAATAGAGGGGGTTTTCCCTTTAGCTTCACAAACGAATTATCCCAAAATTAAGTGTATTATTAGAGTTTGACCTTTTAATTTGTGAAACAAAGAATGTGGGACACTCTACCGATATGCATGGCTTGCAAGCCAAATCATTAAATATGCTCTCAGGACGACCCAAAATTTTATGATGGGAGGTGCAAATTTTTAAACAGTTATATTAGAAATTTAGGGTACTAAATTATAAAATTTTAGAAAATACATAATTAAATCATCGATATAAAATATAAAAAATACCTAAAATATACGATAATTTAAAATTTTCAAGAGTGAGATAACACCCTCGGTCCATCCTAGTGAATTTTGTATAAGTTTATGGTTTAAAATAGTAAACCCCACTAATACAAGAGGAAAGACGTTTTCAAATTATTTTTGGGGATGAGAAAAGAAGGTGGGTTAGTAGATTTCCATATTATTTTAGATATCCGAACTTGTACAATTGAACAAAAGCCATACACCTCTAATCCCATCACAAGAACGCCAATAACTAACTAGAACAAGAAGCTCCTAACCATTTTACAAAACAGGTTACCTTGATGTTTAAAAACATTTAGGCACTCTTTTGAGCCATGAACTACGGCTTAAAGGGCTAATGAATGTTCCCTAAGGAAAAGGGTACCCTAGAAATATACTTCCCACCTAAATGTATGAAGATAGAAAAGCATGCATTAGTTCTGATGTTTCTGTCATGTCTTAAACACCAACCAAGTCCTATAATGTCGTGTAAAAAATTTCTGGTTAAAAAAATGGGTTGGTTTTCTCTTTTTGGCTGTTTTTGAGTTTTATGTCGTGTTTTGGTAATCTAAAGCAAGACAAGGGAGATATGGCAAAAATGAAGAATGGGGCAGCTCATTCTATAAAACATAGCAGCAGTTAATTCAAGGGAGTTGCATTAATGTGTTTTTGTTTAAATACCTCTGATTCGCTATCCAGTCTCAGCTTGTTAACCAGATACTTCATTAACAGCTGCACTGTCATCTTCCCGTCTCTGAAGATTCCACCAAAAAAACACGAAATATGTTGGTAAAGCATAATAACACTAATTATGAAAGCATGGAGGAAACAAATATACGTAGACAGTGATAAACTGGAACAAAACAATGGGATAAACGTTGTTACTTGATTCTCAGGTAACTCTTTGGAATTTGAGGCAGGAACGGTTCTTTTGCTCTGTAAAAAAAAAAGTGAATTTTATCAGAATTTTTCAAACAAAAATAAAAAAGTGAGGAAAATATTGTCCTAGTTTTGAGCAACTTACTGGTTTTCTGATGCTTGTAGAACAAACCAAATGCCAGAATTGGGTCTCCTAGGAGGATCAATGATTCCAACATCCAAGCTCGGCCCGGCAACATCCATTTCGGGTTGCACCGGCAATGTTCTGGCAAAATAGGGCCCGAATGGCGCTAAAGAAGAACAAGAAGAGGAGGCTGAAGGAGCTGCTGCTATATTTTGCGGTATCGGCCTAAATGACGAACTAAGATCTCCGTCATAAGGGAACGTGGAGCTGATCCCTTGTTGTTGGTGTTGATAGAATAGAGATGTACTAAAACTATGCATGAGCGGGGGCGGACGTGGTGGAGCTCGAAACTCAGCCATATGAAAGATAGGAGCTAACGGCCTCGCTTGCTGCGAGCAGCTGCCACCACCGGGTAATAGATCAAGCTCAACCAACCCTTCTCTTCTGGCCGATGGATTGCCTTGGTCATGCTTGTTCCGATCACATCTTGTTGCCTGAGCTTGACCACCCCCTATACTCAGTTGGAGCCAACCTTCATCTCTCTCTAATTCCAGTTCTTGATGGTTATTATCCTTAGAGTTAGAGCCCGCCTCATTAAGACTATTAGTTCTGGATTCATCTTCAGCCATGAGGTTATCAGATCCTATTCCTAAGCAAGTTTCGGTGTGAAAATCATACCCATGAACACGGCTCATAAGACCAAAGCTCTCCGTGTATACACTGCTGCCGCCACAATAACCGTAAAAACCGCCGTGAGGAAGATGATGTTGTTTAGGAAGGTTTTCGGCAGGAACCATGGTCATGTCCGGTGACCAACAAAAACCAACACCCGGTTTCGTCTATAACAAGGAGAAGCAAGAAGAAGATGCTGATGGCGATACTGATAAAGAATTCCCAGATTAGTCCTGAATTCAACATAAGCCATGGATGAACAAGATATTTTCAATCGAAGAATCAACGGTTATTGCCATAAGAAAATTTTGGAGTTAAGAAATCGAAAGACGCCCATTAACCATGGTCTTGTGTTTTATTTTCAACATGGCAGAGGAGAATAAACGTTGTGAATCTCAGTTTCCATTAATTTTCTTTGTTTGGAAGCTTGTAGAAATGAAATGGTTGCAGGAGAATGGAGAAAAGAGAGAGAGAGATGGTGGTCGGTCGGTCAGTCAGATTAAACAATAATAATATTTGTATATTTGTGAATATGATAAGAGACGGCAATCGGGTTTATCGGATTGAATTCAGTTCAAGTAAATTCGATTCTGCCTTTTATTTTTTTGTTTATATTTGATTTAATTTTATGTCAGATTAAGATTAAATTAAATATAATTTGAATTTATAATAAGTTAAATCGAGTAATATATTTATTCATTATTGATTCGGATAAATATTAGATTGAGCCAATATAATAGAGATCAATTTTAAGGTCATGTCAATCTTTGAATCTTTAAATTATTTCAGATTAAATTTAGTTCAATTAAATGTGTATAGAATTAATTGGTACACACTTGTAAAAATGTATTTCCTTTATTTTGTTAATATTATCATTTTGGGTAGTGAATACTTTTATAATATTTAATATCAAATATTTTTTTAAAAAGGAGAAATAAAAAATATGAAGACATTTTAAGGAAGAAATGATAATATTAAACCATTAACAATTATCAAAGATTGTGGTTAACTAGTAAGAATAAAATATGTATCATTATACTATTTATCATGTTATTAAGAAAATAGATAAAAGAAAATTGCTCGTTGACTTTGACTTAATTATTAGATTAAAATTATGTTGATATTTAATCTATATTAAATTTAAACAAATTAAATTTTAAATTTTTTATTCGAGTTAAATTAGAAACGAACCAATATCGATCCAATTAAAATTCAGATAATTTTGATTCGATTTGATTTATTTTAAATTTAATATCAAATTTCAACCATCATATTTAAGTTTGTATCATGTCTTATATCAATAAATCGGTTCAAATAATCGAATAGGAATCAAATTTATAAGTGCAATAATAATTCTTAGGGAGGTCCAACTGTAATTGTTTCTTGGCTTTATTAAGACGTATGTACCACACTGGTTTCTTCTAATGGGAGAATAATATCAAAGGGTCCCCCTAGGAAACAGCTTTATGCTTTAGGGCATGTTCCGAGGGTTAAATGACTGTAAAGGGCTCATTCTTTTAAGAACATAACAGAAAGGTCCTTTTTGGGCTTAAATGGAAGGGTTATGGGGAAATGTAAACCCATCTCTACAAAAGCTAAAACTACAATTGGAATGTTTAAAACCAGACAACTGAAAAAAAACCCCATCACGTCGTCCCCTTTGGTCCCATCTGCTACAAAATCTCATATAAAATCTCGAATAAAACGAATTCAGTAGTAAAAAAATTATCGTTATTTTTTAAAATTTTAAGTTTAAGTATCATAAATGTTAAGGGTGTAAATTTTTAATGTTAAATAATTAAAAATTATCTTTAAATAGATATTATCTCGTACTTATTTTATATTAATAAAAAAATCTCATATAAAAAAGTTTGGCCCTCTCTCTCTACCAAGCTACCTAGCTCTTTAATTTTCGTCATACAAATTATCGTACTTTGCAGCCGAGTCAGCTATGGGGTAATGAAAAGCATTCATTTTTTCTCTCTGCAATATCTTAATATTTTTTATTAATTAAAATTATATATTATAAAAATATTATACGAAAGACACTTTTAGTACCACTTACTCAATCACGATGACATGATGATAATTACATAGCTTTATAATCTAAAACAATAGATAATTATCACAATTCAAGAGATAAATCTAAAATTTTAAAAAATTTCTCCGATGTTAAATATCAATATTATTTTAATATATTTGGTACATTGTCCCATATAAAAAATTATAAATTAAAGAATTTAAATTTCGGAAACAACATATTGTGTGACTTTTAATTTACATAAATCTATTTAGAAATTTGAGTTCTGTAGTTGAGTTTAGTACTTTGAGATTATGATTTTAAATTTTAAGATTAATATAATTATATAAACTTTAATTTACACGTATATAAAATTACTCATATATATGTACTAAAAATTAATCATGTAATTCTGTTCTAAGAAAATCAAAATATTCACATGTGATACATTAATAATGTATCGATAGTGTATCAAATAGTATTTATAAAATATTGTAGATAGGAAAAGGGGAAATTTAAAAACTATAGTTGTGGTTGTGGGTGCTCATGTCCTGGAATTAAGACAAATGGAGAGGACAGAGGAGTAGCATAGCATGATGAGATTACCTGTCAAAGAATAATAAGAAATTGAAAATATTTTTTTGTATGTTATTAAGAGGTAGGGTTGTTTGTGTTTATTTTATTTTTGAATGTGTTTATGTTCTATTCATGATTATTTAAATTTTTAGTATCGTTTTTGTGTTTATAAATATATTCGTTTAACGTTTATGAATATGTTTGTTTAATACTCACGAACATGTTTGTTTATAGTTCGTTTAATGATATACTCTATTTTCATCATTTTATTTGCAAGCAAAAAAAAGTGAAATTACACCACTATTTTATTTGTGAAAATAAAATCCAAGTAAATGAGTTCATAAGAGCGTATGTAAATGAGCTTATTCGTGAAGATAAATTAGCCGAATACACTTTTATTCGTGTTTGTTCGTTTATTAAATGAACATAAATTTTTTATTCATACTCATTTATTTAGATTAATAAACAAACGTTATATGAACAATTCACGAGTAATTCTTGGAACGTTGTATTCATTTAGAGGTGATTATATAAAAAAGGAAAAAGAAAGGAATTAAAGGAGTCTAGTTGGTATGCGCGCATGCTGGTGTTTTCCCCAGAACGCGAGAATCCAAACACCGCGACGTGGGCTTTGCTACGACATTCCTTGCTCATACATGTGCTCCCCACCCTCCCTCCCTCTCATTCGTTATAATTTATAAATATACAATTCTTTCTGTTAAACCATCGAGCAACTGATGATATAATATTTGATTCAAAACAATGGCTGCTGGGGAAAAGCTGCTACTCCTTTTCTTTCCAGCCCATCAACAAATACCCTTTATCTGAATCAGGGACGAGACAATTGGTACCCCATTTATTAATTTTTTTATATTAATAACGACGCATTCTTTTTTCTGCAATTAATGTCCACTCTGACTTTCTACTTAAATGCATTCATCGGAAGCCTTTTTAGTTTAGGAGACTTAGGTGATCGATTATGGTTTTTTTAATACAGTTTGTCAGACTTAGTTTGTAGTTTGCACTTACTTTTTATGGTGAGCATGGGCAAAACTTTTGAGATAATGTTCTAAAAGAAATTAATTCACGAGTTAATGCACTCCCAAGATTAATTGCTTAAATAGGGTGAAATCCACAGTGTTGGCCGTAGGTCGCCATGCACTCCGGGCGACTTTGTAGGTCGCCATGCACTCCGGGCGACCTATCCTTGCTCAAACAGAGAGAATGAACGTGTTGCATGGCACATGCACGTCCCAACACATAGGTCGCAATGCCCTCCGGGCGACCTTATAGGTCGCCATGTACTCCGGGCGACCTACCCTCGCTCGGCTTCCCTCGGATTCCCTCGCATAGCTCGCTCGGTTGCCTCGGATGCCCTCGCATAGCTCGTTCGGATGGCCTCGGATGCTCTCGGATGGCCTCGGTCGGATGGCCTCGGATGCCCAGCGTGTTGGGACGTGCATGACACATGCAATCTCTTGTAGCTCGCCGGGAAGACATGGCGACCTAGTAGGTCGCCCGGAAGACATGACAACCTACGGCCAACGAGTGTGTGTTTGCATGTGCATGTGGGATAATGAGTGGCCATGTCAGTCCATGCATGTGAAAAACAAATGGGGGTTTCACTTGTTGAAACCGAGACAAGCAGAGAAGAGAGAGAGAGAGAGAGAGAGAGAGAGAGAGAGAGAGAGAGAATGTATGTGAAACTTTAAATTCTCCCTTCCCTCCTTTTCTACCTAAGTCGAAAGCTGCAGGAAGGACTTTTCTAATTCATTTCATTTGGGTTGAAATTAGAATTAAGAAATGTTTAGGAAATTTCAGATTTTTCTGATAAGTTTTCAAGTTTTTTTTATCAATTGGTTAAACACTAAAAGTGCACTGTTGAATCTTCTTTCTTCGCTTTAAAAGGGAAGTGAGCAACCACATATGTATGACGACTTCGTTTCCGATCTCCCCATCAGATACGATATTAATGGTTAAACTCTTTTTCGACACAAAGAGTTTTTTAAAGTTCGGTTATCGATTTTACAATCGATTAAGGGTTATCGATTCGAAATTGAAGAATAAAATAAGATAAGTAAAAGGGTTGGTTTTGCAATCTTATGATAGAGACTGGCCTTGGAGAAAAAGGAGATGCCTTTAACTCGTAGACTTTGGTGCAGAGTTTTGGCATGGTGGTGTGAGTGGGTTGTGGTGGAGGTGATCATTCCAAAGTAAAAAGGGAGACAACTTTCCATATAAACCCTTTCCCCTTTTTTTATCATCACTTTGCATTGAATTGCATGTCCCCTTTGAATGCAAGCAAAACCTCTCCCACGTCTCGCACAATATTAATTTTATTTTATCGATGAATTAAAACCCAAAGTAAATTAGGGTTGTAGGATGGAATTTGGCATAATTGGCGAAGTTAAAAAATTAAAACAAGGAAGGAGCAGGCAGTGGCCAAAATACAAGGGTTGCCCTGCCTGTTGTTTGGTATAGTTGCAGGCACGCTTGCTTCATCCGATCAAAGCACACACACATGCATACGGAATTAGGAATATTACAGCACCAGATCTGCCTGCAACCACTAATAGATAATACAAAGAACGCAGTGCCATGGACCTTTGCATGTCACCTCACCCCAAATATTCCATTTCTCCCCTCTTCCTATTCCTTTCAATTTCTTATTCCCAGTCAACTTTGGACACCCAAACAAATAAAAAAAAAAGGGAAATGATCAAACACTCTTGTTTTCTGGGTACCTGTTTTCTTTCTTTCTTTTACAAACCTACATCTTTACTTTCTTCCGTTTCATCATCGCTATTATTACTTTTACTATCGTATGAAAAAGGGTACTTGAAATTACACTCAACTTGACCTTCATTATCATTTTC